ATACTCACACACATGCACTGACACATGTAAATACACACATACACACGTAAATACACACATACAAACACATGTAAATAATGCGATAAGAGGGGAGGAAGAAGAGGAGGGGTGTACGATGAGAGGGGAGAAATAAGAGGAGGGGTGTACAATTATAGGGGAGAAAGAAGAGGAGGGGTGTACGATAGGAGGGGAGAAAGAAGAGGAGGGGTGTACGATAGGAGGGGAGAAAGAAGAGGAGGGGAGAAAGAAGAGGAGGGGTGTACGATAGGAGGGGAGAAAGAAGAGGGAGGGGGGAAAGAAGAGGAGGGGTGTACGATAGGAGGGGAGAAAGAAGAGGAGGGGTGTACAATAGGAGGGGAGAAAGAAGAGGAGGGGTGTACAATTATAGGGGAGAAAGAAGAGGAGGGGTGTACGATAGGAGGGGAGAAAGAAGAGGAGGGGTGTACAATTATAGGGGAGAAAGAAGAGGAGGGGTGTACGATAGGAGGGGAGAAAGAAGAGGAGGGGTGTAAGATAGGAGGGGAGAAAGAAGAGGAGGGGTGTACGATAGGAGGGGAGAAAGAAGAGGAGGGGTGTACGATTAGAGGGGAGAAAGAAGAGGAGGGGTGTACGATAGGAGGGGAGAAAGAAGAGGAGGGGTGTAAGATAGGAGGGGAGAAAGAAGAGGAGGGGTGTACGATAGGAGGGGAGAAAGAAGAGGAGGGATGTACGATAGGAGGGGAGAAAGAAGAGGAGGGTGTACAATTATAGGGGAGAAAGAAGAGGAGGGGTGTACGATAGGAGGGGAGAAAGAAGAGGAGGGGTGTAAGATAGGAGGGGAGAAAGAAGAGGAGGGGTGTACGATAGGAGGGGAGAAAGAAGAGGAGGGGTGTACGATTAGAGGGGAGAAAGAAGAGGAGGGGTGTACGATAAGAGGGGAGAAAGAAGAGGAGGGTTTCGCGATAAGAGGGGAGGAAGAAGAGGAGGGGTGTGCGATAAGAGGGGAGAAGGAAGAGGAGGGGTGTACGATAAGAGGGGAGAAAGAAGAGGAGAGGTGTACGATGAGTGGAGAGAAAGAAGAGGAGGGTGTACGATGAGAGGGGAGAAAGAAGAGGAGGGGTGTACGATAGGAGGGGAGTGTAACAAGAGGGGAGAAAGAAGAGGAGGGGTGTACGATAAGAGGGGAGAAAGAAGAGGAGGGATGTACGATAGGAGGGGAGAAAGAAGAGGAGGGGTGTACGATAGGAGGGGAGAAAGAAGAGGAGGGATGTACGATAGGAGGGGAGAAAGAAGAGGAGGGGTGTACAATTATAGGGGAGAAAGAAGAGGAGGGGTGTACGATAGGAGGGGAGAAAGAAGAGGAGGGGTGTAAGATAGGAGGGGAGAAAGAAGAGGAGGGGTGTACGATAGGAGGGGAGAAAGAAGAGGAGGGGTGTACGATTAGAGGGGAGAAAGAAGAGGAGGGGTGTACGATAAGAGGGGAGAAAGAAGAGGAGGGTTTTGCGATAAGAGGGGAGGAAGAAGAGGAGGGGTGTGCGATAAGAGGGGAGAAGGAAGAGGAGGGGTGTACGATAAGAGGGGAGAAAGAAGAGGAGAGGTGTACGATGAGTGGAGAGAAAGAAGAGGAGGGGTGTACGATAAGAGGGGAGAAAGAAGAGGAGGGGTGTACGATAGGAGGGGAGTGTAACAAGAGGGGAGAAAGAAGAGGAGGGGTGTACGATAAGAGGGGAGAAAGAAGAGGGGGGGGGTGCGATAAGAGGGAGAAACAAGAGGAGGAATGCACGATAAGAGGGTGGGGTGGGGGTTCAAACTATAGCAAATGCTTAACGATTGCCTCTTATTTTAAGACAGGTAACAAGGTCGGGTATTGGTTGGTTGTTTGGTTGGTTGTTTAACGCCGCACTCAGCAATATTCAAGGTAGATAATGGCGGTCTATAAATAAACAAGTCTGGACCAGACAATCCAGTGATTGACATCATGAGAATCGATACACGCAATTAGGATATGATGACATGCATCAACCATGTCAGCGAGCCTGACCACCCGATCCCATTAGTCGCCTCATACGACGAGCATAATCGCATTTTACGGAAAGCATGGAAGAACTATTCTACCCCGGATCTTCACGTGTTTATGTATGTGAAGTGGGTTGTGTTCATAGGTTATGTTATGCAAAGCCGTTCAAGAGGTCAACGACACTGTTCGATAACATGCATAGCCTGTATTGTGTACGCTCTGGCTCTCCAAGCGACAGTCACGTGGTATAGCATTAGGCCAGCATATACAACATAATGGAGACTCGCAAAATCCGGACGACGTACAGTTAGCTGTTGTATTTTCCGATTGCATTTTGTTTTTCGATTTATTTTATTTGAGTTCTTTTAAATACGGGAAACATATTCCATTGTGGATTATCATGTATTTTTCCTGTTTAAGTAGGTTCATCGGAATAGGTCGCGAAAGGAATCCGCCTCTAATAAAGCTGCCGCAGCGCAAGAGAGTCCAATGACCTGTCTAAAAATAAAAAGCGTGCCATATGATCCGTTGACCTGATTATAATTACCTGGTTATAATACCGAAGGTGTTTCAGGTCGACCTTTCAGTGCTAAGCCACTAGTTAAGTCCCCTAACCACCTAAACACACACACACACACACGCACACACACACACGCACACACACACACACACGCACGCACGCACACACACACACACGCACGCACACACGCTCACACTCAAGGGCGAAACTACCATATTGTAGATGAAAAGCAACTGCTTACACCTCAGAAAAAAACGTATTTTTTTACACCTTGAGAAAGCACATTTGTTTATAAGTAAACCTCACTTTACCACCTATGTATAGTAAATTATTAATTACTCTTTACACGGTTGAGTGAGTTAAAATTTAACGTCGCATCGGCATTATTTCCGCCACATAGCGACGAGTTACACGGTTGAACATATTCATTGTCTAACTTGAAAATCGGAATCTTTACGCACTTTAGGATTTTAGTGTCAGATGGTTTGTGACGTAAGCAAAGCGCGCTCTCGCGATTATTTTCATTATAACGATACGTCGGCTCGCGTTAAAATATTAAAATTTAAATAACCATCACATATTACGAATGAACATGTAATAACATATAAAAGTAAGATTATCGATTTGTTTAAATTAAATTTGCCATCATAGATAATGATAATTCTTGAATGAAAATCGTAAATGTGAAACACCTTCATATATATAGATATCCGGGGTAGAATAGGTCTTCAGCAACCCATGCTTGCCGTAAGAGGCGACTAACGGGATCGGGTGGTCAGGCTCGCTGACTTGGTTGATGCACGTCATCGTATCCCAATTGTGTGGATCGATGCTCATGATATCAATCACTGGATTGTCTGGTCCAGACTCGATTATTTACAGACCGCCGCCATATAGCTAGAATATTGCGGAGTGCGGCGTTAAACAACTAACAAACTAACAAACTAATAAAAAATATAACAGATGAATTACTAATATTTGTTACAAATAAAATCTAACATAAACGGTCCCAAAATGCAGGAAATAGCGTCTAAGAGCATCTAATTTCAAAAGGTTTTGGGGGGACAGGGAGGCCGTTTCGCGCTCTCGTAACATTGGTTTTGCTTACACTTAAAATTAGCCTAGCTGCGCCCCCTGACACTGAAGCACACCATCAACACCCGGTGTGTTAACATTTCTCACAAAGACCACAACGAACGATTAGTTAAAGGTTGGTCGCCTTATTGTCGTACGTTCACGCGGTTATAGATAATGACTATGTAACCCCATTGAACTTGTGTGAGGTTCAATGGTTGCGATATCTGTGCTGATCTCTTTAAGAAGAGTAGTGTCAATAGTCAACGGTACTTCGGAGGCCGAACACGTGCCTGCATCACGTGATCACTCTGACGGGTAAGTTTAACTGCGTTTTATGAGCTAGAGGTGTAAACTATATTGATTTGTATATGTGAACAAATTGCTATTCCTGATATAGACAATGCTATGCGGTCCTGTGCGCATTTGAGTGATGAGCTAGAATTAATTTAAAGTCATTTTTGGGGATGAAGTTATTTGATTCACATTACAATACATTAGGCTACACTTTCAACATTGTCTTTTGCGAGAATAAAGGTACTAAAATTAGTGCTGGGTCAGTCAACATATGCGGCGTTGAACAACAAGCAAACAGTCAACACATATTATGTAAGCAACTTGAAGTCTGAACATATGTTCTGCAGAGGTGCGTCCCTTGGGTTCGAATCCCGGTTCGCAGCTATTATGTTTCTAGGTTTGTCAGCACCATATATTTGGGTTTCACCGAAGAGGTAAACGTCTAAGACCTTTGTCACTTTGGGCTTTCCTTCCACATTAAGCTGACACGCCATGGTGTTTCTTAAATACTGTTCAAAACTGCGTTAAACCAAACTCACTCACTGACAAGCTGCAGACGAAGCATTTGATTAACGAACCAGTGCATACCGGTACCGTATGTCCAAAAACGCGCGTACCACTGACACGCATACAAACACACTGGAGAACAAGTCATGCGCGAAACAGACTATGCATCATAAGTAATGTGTTGGCCATAAAATTTGAATTGGCAGACAAACCTGCTTTGTAATAACTTACTAGGGTGTCAATTTGCATGAGGAATCATCTGTTTAAACTATAAATGTCTACGACGCTGTCTGTTAATATCTGAATCGACGTCAGTAGCCCGATCAGTGGCTAAAACTGGCCCGCATTCACAACTCGTCTGTTGACTCACGTGACCGGTCACATGATCCGTATGTTTGTAGATGGCGCTGGTGTTCTATGGTGGCGGCACTAGGCAATGCTGGGTTAAACAGAAGCAACAGTCGTATCTGCGCAATATAACAATCGATCGTGATAATACTGGTTCGTTGATTTGATTATTTTATAACAAAAATTTTGTTTTGCGTTAAAGAAATTGAGTTTGAGTCTCCACGTTTTATGAAAATCAATTTTTTTTTACGTGCGAAAACTTAAATCTGGCGCCATTTTGCGTTGCCTAATGACTACATGTATGACGCATTGAAATAAAGATCACACGAGGTGCGAACCCACGTGGTCAGACAAGTAACAGTTATCGTAGTAAAACAGTGTGTGATTGTCATAATTTTTAGGACTACCTCGAGAAGTATTCTCACGAACCAGCTTCTCAAATAAAGGTAAATAATCTAGACGAAAAAATATGTTTTTGTAATGTCATTATGAGAAGGTAGGGCACCATATTCTGTGGATTTTGGTAAATCTTTTCAAGAATCAGTTTATTCGACGATGATTTGATTGTGTAGTTAAAATAACACTTTACGATATAGAATTATCATTTCTTAGACTTGCATGAAGCTTGCCATTGTCATGATTCTTTGTCGTATTTTTAGCTGTAAATTGTAAGCCTATTAGAACCTGCTTGACTAGATTTGTTTCTGTGAACATTTAATTTTATGGTGTATTGTAGCATAGCAATCTAGTTAGGCAAGGGGCGGTCGGGTAGCCTAGTGGTTAAAGCGTTCGCTCGTCACGCCGAAGACCCAGGTTCGATTCCCGACATGGGTACAATGTGTGAAGCCCATTTCTGGTGTCCCCCGCCGTGATATTGCTGGAATATTGCTAAAAAGCGGCGTAAAACTCACTCACTCAATCAGTTAGGCAAGATTTTGGTCACACATTCTCTTTCCACAGCAGGGACCCAATAGGATAGTAGAATTTGACAAAGTGAATGTTCTTGTATGTTCAATTTGCATTTTTGGTTCTCATGTGATCTACAGTCATTGCCATAGGAAGCAGCTGTGACAACTTAATATCACAGGCATGATTCTCTGTCATCATTATTGATTGCTGCGAGTCAGGTGACAGGGTTCAGATGTTGCCTGGTCCACTGAATAAGTGAATATGCCATTATGGTGAACATTATTCAGTGCCAGTCAATCAAAGAGAAACCATGCTGACCATTTCCGTGACTTGTATTTAGTGAGATACCAGAGACCACATTCCAATATTTGGTCTCCAACCTAACTGGGGCATTGTCTCTGTGTAAATAAGGCTAAACAGTAACTGTATAAAATAATAAATAGTGGGAACATAATAAACGTCCAGCCCAAAAAACTGTAAATGAAAGGGGTTATAGTAGGAGAGAAGAGGGGTTTGGGATGAAGAGGCAAAGGGATGCCAAATGAGATTGTAAAGTCCTACGTTAGTCAGTGTATAATGGTATAAAGGTGATAAAGAAACAGAAAAGAAGGAAAAAATAAAGAAAATAGAGATCAGTTAAGCTGATATTTTAATATGTAATAAGAAAACTAAAGAAAAAAGAGCAATATAAATAAGTAATGGATATGGTTGGGTAACCTAAGCTACACCTCATCTGGCCTACACTAAATACAAATGGTTACTTCCACACCCCTGTTGTGTAGAATGGTACTGTCCATTAACCCATTAATGATTTCATTCATTAATCTGAATTAATGATCTGAGTACATGGGCCTTTGAACTAATCCGATGTTTTCATAGTGGTATCTGATCCTTGAGTTTGTTTTGACTGTTTATACAGGATTACTGTTATAATCCACTTTTAACAGGTCTACTCATCTCAAAAGTTTTGTAAGTGTGTATACCATGGTATACATTACCTTACCTGATATAATCCAGTCTGAGCCTTTTAACAGGTCTAATCATCTCCAAATTTCTGTAAGTGTATATATATACCTCAGTAAGTACTATTGTTTCTCTTTACTTTGATCAACGAAATAGCTTTCACAATGTTAACAGGATCACCTCATCTCCAATTTAGGAATAGGTATATAAGTTAGTTTTTACGTTTGTGCCTCAGTTTGAAAATGGCACATCTTCAAAGAGAGGCGGTCAGCAAGTACTACATGCTGGGTACCGGTATAGGTTGAATGTCAAGCGGCAACTTGCTGTTCACTGGAAGTGTATCACCATTGGCTGCAATGGCAGATGCAGCACCATTGGCGACCACATTATATCAACCAAGCCTCACAGTCATCCACCTACCGAGAATGTAGAACACATCCGCATCATCGCCAGCATAAAGGAGCAAGTGAAGACAGACATCATCCCTGTTCAGCAGATCTACAACGCCGAACTCGACCGAGCTGTCGAAGATGCTGCTGCCACGATGCCGTCCTTTGCCAGTGTCCAGGCTGCTTTCTACCGACACCGCCCCAAGTCCATCCCACCTCTCCCAGAATCCCGAGCCGCTGTCGACCTTCAAGAACCCTGGACCAAGACTGAAGATGGAAGAGACTTCCTGTGCATAGATGATGGTGCTGATGACAGACTGTTGGTGTTGGAGATCCTTAGTGAGCAGGACACTATTTTCATGGATGGGACATTCTTCGTGTGCCAAAGTTTGTCAAAGAACTCAAGAAGATCGAGACAGCAGATAGACAGTCAAGAAGGCAGATTGGACTGGGTGGTGCCATGAGACCTCGTGCTCGTGTTGACAGAGACCGAGATGCAAGGATCGAGAGACTGAAGCAGCAGCTTGCTACTGGCAGAAGATCAGTGATCCAGTTTCTTGATGCAGTTGGACATTTCATCAAATTACAGTAATTTTGCTAGTAATGATGTAGTGCTAATGTTGTAAAACATGAAGATGATGGATATAAATGTACAGTGCTATGATAATACATGTGTATTTATGAAATTTGATGTTGTGAAAACATTTGAGTTGTGAAGATGATCTCATATACAAAATGAAATTACAGTATCAAAGGTCATTTACATTCTTTGTTATTTTGTTGGAAGAGTTCATTTTACTTAAGGGATAAGGGTACAAGTGTGATGTGCACTCATTCATAAATTTGTTTTGATAGTAGTGTAGGCGATATGAGGTGTAGGCCAGATGAGGACAGGCCGCAAGATTGGTACACATGACTAATTTGAGTTTATAAACTTGATTTGAATAGGATAGCCCCAAGGCACTTTTTTAGGATTAAGCTGATCTGAACTGCCAGTGAATATTATAAAATGTCAGTGTCCTTAGTACACAATTAAATCTAATTGTTATTTTTTATTAATGGATATATTATTACAGTCTGCAACTTTGCCCACTATTCTGTAACCCTAGACTTGTAAAATCCAGTTTGTTGTACTAAGCTCAACAAGTTTGGTCCATATTATAACAATAAAGTCTATTGAAAATTATGCTAAGAGACAAGTTCAGGAATGTGGACTCAAATTGATGTGCCAAAGATTGTTTAGTTTTATTATTGAAAGATATATGTTAATTTTGACAGAATCGTCCTGGCTAAGTACTTGTGTTCAGCCATGAAGTATATTTTGGTGACCGGTGGCGTCATCAGCGGAGTGGGGAAGGGTGTGCTAGCCAGTAGCGTCGGTACCATCCTTAAATCCTCCGGTGTGCGAGTCACCTCCATCAAGATCGACCCCTACATCAACATTGATGCTGGAACATTCTCACCATATGAGCATGGTAAGTCTGATATTAGTCATTGTTTTAGCCCCTTAATGCCGTGTGCCAGACAGGGTAACAACAAGTACCATCTTTTAATGTCTTTTGGTATGACACGGCCGGGCATCAAACCCCGGACCTTCCGCTCTCCGGGCGGATGCTCTACCACTAGACCACAAAGGCGGTCGTCATGGAGAAGAAAAAGAGAAGACATACAGAACTATAATTAGAAGCATTGATAATTAGGATCATAAACTCTGGGGAGCACACCAGGCACCTATGATTGTGCGTTCGAATCCCGGTTCGCCTCGTTTATGTTTCTGGGTTTGTCAGCACCATACCCGTGCTCATGGGTTTCACCAAACTCGTAAACGTCTGAGACCTACATCTCTTCGGGCATAACTCACACACAAATCAGACACGCCATGTTGTAACTGGAATACTGTTTAATAGGGCGGGGATGGTACACCAACTGTGCGATCCGATACGTATCACGATATCTTACTCACGATCCGATATGTATCAATACTTCATGTGTTCTTATCCATCTGTGATGCGTAAGCCATCTTTTTCATAGAGAGGATGGCCAAGTACCTGGCACACTGATGATTTACAGTTGGCAGTGTCAAGTATGGCACAACAAATGAAAATATTTATGTTTTCACCATTAACTTGCACTACTGATTAGTGTTTATTGGAACAGTTATTTCAGCAAACATTTAAGGTGAGAATCGATATTTTTTACTTAGTGTGCGACTGGGATCGATACTTGTATCAAGAAGTAAAAGAATCGCGATTCTCCGATGCATCAGTGTATCGTCCCACCGCTACTGTTTAAGCAGGGTATAGCCAAAAGCACTCACTCACTCCTAAGCCTATGTTGTTGCAGGTGAAGTGTTCGTACTTAATGATGGTGGAGAAGTTGACCTTGACCTAGGAAACTATGAGAGATTTCTGGACGTGACATTGCATCGGGACAACAACATCACGACAGGGAAGATCTACCAGCACGTCATCAACAAGGAGAGAAGAGGCGACTATCTAGGAAAAACTGTACAAGGTGGGTGTGGCAAGCTGGCAAACATCTGTAACCCATGTGTTTGTAAATTTGATTATTTTTATTTCATTTTAGAAGATACAGCCAATGATGGTACTATGTATTTGGGATACGGATTCAGGGTTTTATCTAGACCTGCTAGAGGTCGCCTTTCGGCCCTAAGTTTTTTGCAAATGTCAGGATAAAGTCCGAAATGGAATTTGAAAATTTCCCAATTCATGTCAATATCGTCTTTCCGAGGCAAGGGAGTTAACTGACTGTAAAAGTCCAGTTTCCACCCTTGCTAACAAGGCTGGAATTTCGTGCCTTGATCTTAGCACAATCAGTGGCTATGTCCCTCAGATTCCACCTCTCATATCACTTGCATTTGTTTCAAATAAAATGGTGGCTCCCAGAGAAGACGATCTGATTGATAATCAAGATTTATATTGTAATAAAACGGGTCTTAGTTCGCGAAGTGCATCAAATCTTGTGAGCACCTTGATTAAACACATAACAAGATTTGCAGAATATCTGTTGACGCTAAGTTGTGGGTACACATGCTTTGCAAATCCTGCAATTGACCGAAATGCGCATGGCAGTTTCCGAACCGGTTGTCAATTTCAGTGAATGAGTTGGGTTTAACGCTGCTTTTAACATTATTCCAGTTGTATCACGGCATGCCAGCTTAATTTGGGAGGAAAGCACGAAGTGATGCAGGTCTCAGACGTTTACAGGGAGCAGCAGAGAGACACAGTTACCACAGCTAATGATAGCTTGGTCGACCAATGGTCCTTTAGTCCGAGACTGGTAAAAATCCAGGGGGACTAGTTTTCTACCAAATTCGAGCTATTTTGTATAAACAACTATTCTGACTAGTTACCCTTTGTCTACCGGGGCAGTGGGGTAGCCTGGTGGTTAAAGCGTTTACTCGCCACGCCAAAGACCCGGGTTCAAATCCAGACATGCATACAATGTGTGATGCCCATTTCTGATGTCCCCCACTGTGATAATGCTCGAACATTGCAAAAAGCGCCATAATGCCAGACTCACTCGCTCTTTTCTACCTCTTGTATACGACCATAATAACCTGTTCCAGAAGGAAGTGTGTCTTTAGCAAGTTCTGAATTGTGTTTTATGTTGCCATGGTTACCCCATTCTGAAATGACGAACCAACCTCACTGACCTGTTCTGTCTCTGTAGTTGTGCCACATATCACTGATGCCATCCAGGAGTGGGTGGAGAGAGTAGCCAAGGTCCCAGTTGACGGAGACAAAAAGATGCCAGAAGTTTGTATAATAGAGGTGAGTACGGTGTGACAGGACAGTTACCTCCCTTGGTCTACTCATTGATCTTTCCGATGGCAATGGCTGCCCATATGTTAGTTAGTTACAGTTCACATTCATACACCTCCTGCAAAGGTGTCTGGAAATCAAAACTGACTAATATGTTTCAGCTTTAATGACAATGAAAACCTGTATGGATTCCTGGTCCTGAACAACCTAAGCTGTTCCAAAGAGCAGCGATAGAAACTTACTTTTTTAGTCCACTGGTCCTAATGATGATAACATAAATCAAAACCCTTAAAATGGCAAATTTCTACTTGTCCTTATGATGGGCAGTTTGGCATAGACTATAGGACTAGTGCCAATATCTGATGTTGAAGAGACGACCAACTGGATCAGGTGGTCAGTCTCAGTGACTTGGTTGATTGCTTGTCATCATACCCCAACAGCGTGGATTGTGTGGTCACAACAAAAATCACTGGATTGTCTGGTCCAGACTTATTACATTAAGTAATACGTTACCACTGTTATACCAAGGCTGTTGTCTCCCACAACTGCTGCTATAGCGAAATCTACCACAGAGATCTCAATTACCTCATGCAGCACGTGCGTAGCCACCTAGCTGCCATGTGACACCCTTCACTCTTGTCTCCTTCGTCTGCTTAGCAAGACGTCTTTTCTCCTGCTGAAGCGTTCCTTGAAGATTTGGTGATATTTATTATAGTTTATTCTCTATTAAACTGTGCTTTTATGGGGCGTTGCGGTAGCTACGCTTGGTTATAATTTTCCCGCCCTTTTTTCTATATACTTGCGGGGTTCGCGTATGCACGTTGTGTTTTACGTTTCCCCTATTCTTGTATGTTTTTGGGGTTAACATAACTTATTTCTTTAATAAAAGTTATATGTGTATGTTATATGTTCACATTGCTCGTTTATTTTCTTGTGAAAATGCTCGTTTGTGAATCATTGTGGTGCGTGCGTTGTAACCATGTTTTGTTCTTTGTTTATAGCAAACAATCAATGTCTGACATGGATATGTCCCCAGTATCCACTCCCTCTACCCCTGCTCCTCGGAGTTGTGGGGTGTGCAGAAAGTTTTTGTCGTTCCGGGATCCCCACGATTGTTGCCCGCGGTGCAGGGTTCCTTGCGGGGACACCCGGTGCACCCTGTGCGAAGGTCTGGGGCCTGCGGAGTTTGAGCGGTACTGGCTGTACGTACAGTCCGTCTCCACCCCTGTGGTGGCCGGTTCGTCCGGTCGGGGTCCCCTCCTCGGCTGCGGCGGATCCCCTTGCGGCCCTCGGGCTGTCTGGGGATTCCGTCGCCGCATTGTTGTCGAAACTTGTGGACTCCAAGCTGGCGGCCTTATCGCTGGCTGTTCCGTCCCCGGCCTCTTCGGTGGCCGCGGGGTCCACCGGTACGGCGGCGGCTGCCGTGGTTGCCGGTCCTTCCCCCGAACCGTTGCTTCCGCTATCGGTTAAGGACCGCGTGGCCATGGTGTATGACCTCTTCGAGGACATGCCAAAGCCCCTGCCGATACCGCGGGGAATCCACGGTTCCGTGGGTTCCTCCGAGGTATACGACGAGACGTCCGACAAGGCTTTCCCGGCATCAACCTTGCTGCGCGGGATTAAGCCTTCTTTGGAGAAGGCCTTCACGGCTGCCTCCGGTCGGGGTCTCCCGTTACCTCCTCCGTCGTGGAGAAAAGGGTCTTTCCCAGTACATGACCTTGCCTTTCCCGAGGCTGGTCCTTCTGCGGAAGCCCATGTGGAGCGTTTGGTGGTCCGTGCCCCACCGGTTGCCACGGTACCACAAGGTACCTTGCAACAGCTGGACACCCTCGCTCGACACTCCATGCTGGCAATGTCTCACGGAGACACATACCTGGCTGCAGCGGCCAGTCTGGTCGAAGGTTCTCCCACGGACCGAGACCAGCGCATTTACAACTGCTTGCTCGGTTTGAATGCTTCCCTGGAGTACGTTGCCGGGGCTTCGGCCTTTGTTTCCGGCACGTGCCATTTTCTTCGGCGCCAGTCGTATCTGGCTGCTTCAGGGTTGGACGCTGCCAATCAGGAGGTGCTCCTTTCGCAGCCTTGGTCTGCTCGGACCCTGTTTAATAACAAGATCCCTGGGGTTCTGAAGGAACAACAGGCCGCTGTGTCTGCCGAGGCCTCTCGGCACACACTGGATCTTGTGGGGTCCTTGCATAGGCGCCTGGGTGCCGCTCCGAAGCGGAGCGCGCCCCAGGATGCTGCGTCCGGCAGGCCTAAGGGGTCGGGTCCTTCTTCCTCCGGGAAGAAGCCCCGCTCTGAGGGCTCCGGTAAGGGTTCTCAGCAGCCCTTTCGCGGGAAGAAGGGGAACTGGGGGAAGCCCAAGTCGTCTAAGGACGGCAAGGGCCCCTCCAGGTGACTCTCATTGGAGGGGTTCGTATGCCGACAGCGCCAACTTCGGTTGGCCCGTAGGCGAACCCGAGTCACTTGGCCCTGGACAGTTGCGCCTGCCGCAGCCCGTCCGGCCCCCCTCTCTTTCCCCAGTGGGAGCCAGACTCCAGACTTACTGGGAGAATTGGGAACAAGTGTTCGACGACCCGTGGGTGGTCAACACGATTCGGTACGGCTATCGGCTCAATCTCAAAGCGAATCCGCCGCTCACCGTTGCCCTGTCGGCAGGTTTCTATTCGGAAACCAATCTTCCCTTCCTCGCCGATGCCATCTGCAGGTTGGTGGAGAAGAGGGCAGTTCGGGAGTTAGCTCTACCAGAAATAACACCGGGGTTTTACTCCAGGATATTTTTCGTTCCCAAGAAGGACAGTGCCGAACTCAGAATGATTCACAACCGCCCAAGTTCAGAATGTTGAGCTTGACGGACCTGAAAGCACTGATCATGCCGGCCGACTGGCTAGCTTCGATCGACCTGAAGGATGCTTATCTGCATGTTCCGATTCACTCGGATCATCCCAAGTATCTCAGGTTTGTCTTTCAAGGCAGGCACTACGAGTGGGTTGTACTCCCATTCGTTCTTTCATCCGCTCCCTGGCTGTTCACCCGGTTAACCATCCCCATAGTGGGGTTCCTCCACCGGAGGGGTGTCCGGTACTTCGCGTACCTGGACGACTCGCTAGTAGCAAATCGAATGACGGACACCCTGTCACGCCATCTCGTTTTCGCACGTCGGCTCTTGGAGCAATTGGGGTGGATTGTCAATCTCCCCAAGAGCGAGTTAACCCCTTCTCAGAACTTGCAGTTCATCGGAGGTCGGTTCAACACGGTGTCCCATCGCCTATTTGTCCCCCCAGACCGGTGGCACAAAATTCAGGCGATGATTGCCAAAGTCTTAGCGGTGCAACAGACTGTTCACTTTTGGGAACAGCTGTTAGGGCTACTTGTATCAGCCCAGGACTGCACCGAACGGGGTCGTCTCCAACTCCGCCCGCTGCAACGGTTTTTAATCCAGTTGTTAGCAACGGAGGTGAACAGTGCGACCGTCGCCCTCCCGGATCGGCTCCGACCGCATCTGGAGTGGTGGACGCTCCCTTACAATGTCTTATCAGAAGTCTCTATGCGGCCCTACCGGGCCACGTTGAACCTGTATACAGACGCCTCTCTAGTGGGCTGGGGCGCCCATCTAGAGGGGGAGGTGAGCTCGGGGCTGTGGTGCGTAGACGAACTAGGTCTTCACATCAATTGTCTCGAGTTCAAGGCAGTGATCAACGCAGTCAATCACTGGAAGCATCGTCTCGTCGACGCCCGGCTCATGCTGGCGACCGACAACACGACGGTAGTGTCCTATGTGAACAAACTGGGGGGAACCCACAGTCACTCGCTACTCGATCTCACGTTCGAGTTTTACGCTCTGGTGGACAGTGTCCCGTGCCAGATACGCGCCCGTCACATCCCAGGTGTGCGGAACGTACTGGCCGATGCTCTATCGAGGCCTCAGGATCCGAGCCCCACAGAGTGGATGCTGAACCCAGTAGTGTTTCAGTGGCTGTGCGAACGTTTGGGTCGTCCGATGGTCGACCTGTTCGCAACACGGTTCAACAATCAACTCCCGTTGTTTGTATCACCAGTCCCAGACCCGAGGGCCATCGATCACGATGCTCTCGCGTTAGACTGGACGGGCTTGGACGCTTATGCTTACCCGCCGACAGCGTTGATACCACACATTCTAAGCCGGCTTCGAGGAGTTCGCTGTCGAATGTTACTGATCGCGCCCATGTGGCCGAACAGATCGTGGTACCCCGACTTGCTGACCCAGGTCACGCAGTCGCCACTCCCACTGCCTGTGAGACCGGATCTCTTGATCCACCCTCACACCCGTCAGCTTCATCCAAACGCAGGGCAGTTCAATCTGCACGCGTGGATGTTGTCACCGAGCGTCTGAGGAGTAAAGGTTTTTCTCGCCGGGCGTCTCGGGCATACGTTAGTATGCATCGTGATTCTACCCAGAAGGTGTATAATGCACGTTGGGTTATTTTCACGAAGTGGTGTTGTAAACATCACATTCATTCGCCAGATAAGGTATCTGTGCAGGATATTGCTCGTTTCATGTCTCACTTGCGAGAGACCCGGAAACTCTCCGGGTGTTCCATTGCCAACTATGTCTCGTCCGTTGCTACGGTACGGGACGTTGCTATGGGTACCAGTCTCTCCAAAGAGCCGGTGATACGGGGTATTATCAAGGGTTTCAAACAGCACGATCTTAAGATGGGCCGCCTTCGGGCACCGGCCTGGGATCTTTCCCTAGTGTTGCAATCACTTACGGAAGCTCCGTATGAACCCTTGTATAGTGCTTCGTTCCGGCATGTGACTGTGGAAAACAGCATTTCTCCTCTCCTTTGCCACGGCGGCACGTGTATCCGAAATTCATGCACTCGATGTCGCCAAGGTACGATTCGATAGTGGTGACAAAGGAGCGGTCCGCCTGGGCCTGCTCATGGGCTTCGTCGCCAAGAATCAGAGAGTCGGGCAAACGGAGAGAGAATTCACTGTAAGATCCCTCAAAGAAATCTTACATCCTGCTGATACTGAGGACAGAGCGCTGTGTCCGGTTAGGGCCCTTAAGTATTATCTTAAGGCTTCGAATGAACGTAGACAAGGGCGTGACCGTCTGTTCATATCGTGTAACCCTAATCGCACGGTTGACATAACTCGCAACTCGATTGCGTTGTGGCTTCGTTCTGTCATCAATCTGGCGTACCGGTCTCGGGGGTTACCGGTAGCGGGGTCAAACCCGCACGAGATCAGGGCGCTAGCGGCAACATTTGCCCTACACTCGAATATCTCTGTTCACAGAATATTACGAGGTTGTTACTGGCGTTCTGACTCGGTTTTTGCCAATCATTACCTCAGAAAGGTTTCTGATGAAGACGTGGAGGGGGTGCACCGTCTTGGGCCGCTGATCGCGGCACAAGCGGTCATCTAGGGGGGGTGTCCAGCGCAATTCCAAACTCCGCAGTCGTCAGTCCTTGCACGGTGGTCAATCTGGGTCGTCTCCAATGTTCCCACGCCGTGGGTACAGGAGTGGGGGTCCTGCAAACCAGCGCACTCACACCACAGGTGAGGCGGCTTTTTGTGTGTTTTGTCCTTATTTGTATTTTGACAATTATGCATTTAATTGTCTGTCGTGTATTCCAACCTTGCGATACATGCTTACGAATACTGGAATTAGGTCACGCGCCTAATGCATACTTTAAGTAGGCTTGCTCTGGGATGAAATACCTATCCAGTGGGGCCGTTTGGAGTCACCAATCGTTTTGGCATTGACGATTGAGCCTTACGGTATGCGCTTGACAGTGCTTTGGTATTCCTATAGGGTAACGCCTAGCTAGGTGCATGCGCATCGAGTGCTTCCGCCTTGGTGTTTACTTCCACTGGTCGGAAGGAACGCTAGCAGTCAGGATTCGGGTTGTAGGTGCTCCCCACCGCCTACTGTGGTAGTCAGCCTCGGTATAACAGTGGTAACGTATTACTTAATGTAATTTGTAGAATTTTCCTATTCGGAATATTCTATAAGTAATACGTTACCACTGGGCTGCTGCCCGCCCGTCCGTCCCCGAGCACTTGCTCTCGCAGGAGACAAGAGTGAAGGGTGTCACATGGCAGCTAGGTGGCTACGCACGTGCTGCATGAGGCAATTGAGATCTCTGTGGTAGATTTCGCTATAGCAGCAGTTGTGGGAGACAACAGCCTCGGTATAACAGTGGTAACGTATTACTTATAGAATATTCCGAATAGGAAAATTCTACAAAATTATTTACAGACAGCTGTCATATAGCTGGAATATTGCCGCATGCAACTTTAAACTACAGAACAAACCTATATGACAATGAAAATGGTTTGAAATGTCTCAATGACCCTTGGTGATATTTCAGCTTGGTGGCACCATCGGAGACATAGAAGGTATGCCATTTGTAGAAGCATTCCGACAGTTCCAGTTTCGAGTTGGGAGGGAGAACTTTTGCTGTGTCCACGTCAGCTTAGTCCCTCAGGTAAGCTGCCCTTGTGCCTGAAGTGATGTGCTCGCCAACTTTATCTGTGTATCGCCATGTGGAGAGTCCAGGACTTAACATGTGTATGTGGTCCATGCTTTATCATCATGTGGGATCTGTTTGATTGTGTGTGATACAAAGCTGATTTACCGTATTCAACATTATAAGCGCCCAGGCCGCTCTCAAAATTAGAAAAAGGGGGCTCATATCAGAATATTATTTTGACGAAAAACAACAGAGTTGAAAGATCGTAAATGTTGTGGTTTATGCTGACAGCCTGAAATGTTTGTATACGACATATATTTTTCCAGAATTTAATTTCCCATAATTAAGGATGCATATAACACACCTATTATACATGAATGAATAAGTCTTGTGCACATTGATCAATCGGAAGGGGTGCTAATTGGGATTGTTCACTAGCTAATATCAGAGACCACATACAGATATGGTCTCTGCCAATATGTTAGCAAATATTGCAGTGGGCGCTTATTACCTCGAATACGGTATTCTGGGATGCCTGTGACCTGGTGGTGTTTGTGTGTCAGAATAGGTCTCCAGCATCCCATGCCTGTTGTAAGAGCCGACTGAAAAAGGGATCCTGTGAGTCACCACAATTTGCTGTGCATCCCTTGGGCATGCCAGAAAACAATGGTCCAGATTATGTTTTCAGATTTGTCAGCACCATACCAGTGTTCGTTGGTTTCGCAAAAGTAGTAAACGTCTGAAACCTGCATCACTTCCGGCTTTCCACCTCCATTAAGCAGACACATTGTAATATAACTGGAATACATTTAAACCCAACTCACTCACTCTAAGCTTCTGTGTAGCTCTCATGTATGTGATGTTGTAGCCGCGGACGACGGGGGAGCAGAAGACAAAGCCCACACAGGCCAGTGTGAGGGAGCTACGTGGCCTGGGACTTTCCCCGGATCTGGTGAGTTGCGTCACACCAACTGGTCCTGCTCTTTGTGTACTGACAATGTATTTCTTTGTGAGGCCAGAGCAAGTAGTTGTTGGGGAAGAGCCTATGTTGAATCTGCAGTTAGTTAAGATGTGTTTTTGTTAAAAGGGGCGGTCGGGTAGCCTAGTGGTTAAAGCGTTCACTCATCAAGCCAAAGACCTGGGTTCGATTCCCGACATGGGTATGATGTGTGAAGCCCATTTCTGGTGTCTCCCACTGTGATATTGCTGGAATTTTGCTAAATGCGGCCTAAAACCATACTCACTCACTCACTTTTGTTAAAAGTTTGTTTGTACAATTTTTTAACTTATCCTGCATTACTCCGTATTGCATTTACTGCTGTCTTTGACAGAGAGACGAACTGTGTGAGATCCAGCTGCTGAAGAAAGTTGTTTCCATCTGTCCAGGAAGCAGCGCCCCCTCCCACACAGTCGGCACGTGACCCGGAAGACATGACGTCATGTCAAAACTCATAACTGCTTTGTCAACCACATGGATCGGACGTGAACTGTATCCCTCAGTGGAATTATTAAAGAGAGTTTACTTGGTCCTGACTTTCTTTCGTTTTCTACGACAAAAGTCTGCTGTATTACCTTTGCCTTCATTATATTGTTAATTGGTAATGTTTCTCGCTCGGGTTCTGACTCTCGTCACGGTTTTTCCGAGCGTATTGTTGTTTCCCGCCATTTTGGTTTACCGCCATTTTTTCCCGCCCTGTTGCGATTCACTACATGTCCACGTACTTCCGTGTTTTGTGTCTTGAATTCGCTCTATGGTTGGAGTTTTACATTAAGTTTAATGATTGTTTTCGGCGTGTTTGAAGCGTAATTGTTTGCTCTTATTAACTTTGTAACAAGAATAAGTTATGTTGAGTTACATTATGTTTCACGTTGTGTGTTTACACATCGTTATGTTTTTTGCTTCAATTCCAGTATGTCTCGCTGCTCTCGCTGCCGCGGGAATAAATCTGGACGGGACCCCCACCCCTGCTGCCTGGACTGTACAACCCCGTGTACCCTCACAGAGCGTTGCAGTTATTGTAGTCCCCTGTCGCCAGTCGCCTTCACCGCCTACCTCAGAGTGTCTCGGAAACGATTCACCCAGCGTGTGCGTCGACTCGCCAACATGTCATCCAACGTAGAGTCTGCCTCCCATGGCACGACATCCGACCGTACACGGTCTCCTACACCACCCTTACCGTCATCTGCTTCGACATCATCGTCTGCAGCATCGCCCGTTTCGGGTTTCCTGTCACCTCTACAATCTACGACGACAACTCTGGCGCCTCTTGGTCCGGCGCCTCCGATGTACCCGGCGCCTCCGATCTACCCGGCGCCTCTTGGTCCGGCGCCTCCGATCTACCCGGCGCCTCTTGGTCCGGCGCCTCCGACCTACCCGGCGCCTCTTGGTCCGGCGCCTCCGATCTACCCGGCGCCTCTTGGTCCGGCGCCTCCGATCTACCCGGCGCCTCCGGCGCCTCTTGGTCCGGCGCCTCTGATGTCTTCGATGTATACGGCGCCTCTGACTACTTCGGCGCCTTTGACTTGTGCTGCGCCTCCTACTTATGGACATGCCCTTCCGTCATCGTTCATGGATCCATCTTGGATGCAAGCTTGGATGCAGTCATTGTTTGCGCAAGCTCAACCCACCTCAGCGACGCCGGCGACGCTGACGGCCCCGACTACTGCTACTGCGATTCCTGAGGCCCCCTCCACATCGGGTGCTTCTCGGTCTCGAACATTGTACACCTCGTCGCCTCCGACTGTCTCTCGGCACTCGTCCAAGTCTGCTCGTTCCCGTCGTCGCTCTCGTAGTCGCTCTCGTAGTCACTCACCCGTACATAGACGACGACGTCGTTCCTCCTCCTCGGAAGGATCATTTCGCCCCAACTATGACCCTCCATCTCCCGAGATTGATACACACTTGGGCCTTTCACAGGTTGCTGATTGGTTGGCGGACCGTCTGGCCTCCGTCGCTCCCTCCCCGGGCTCCGATGTGGATAAAAAGTTGACGATCTGGTCTAATCCGACTTCTCTACCACCCGACCCAATGCTCACTGACCTGGTTACGGCGTTGGACGAGGACTTCGCTAAGTTGTCCCTCACGCCGTCGTTCAAGGCTCCGCGTTTCCGGCGGGAAGATTTCCCCGTCCACTCCTTCGACGTGGCCGACGGTGCACATATCCTGGACGAGGACTTACATCGAATGACCGGGTCTTCTCAGTCCGTCACCATACGTATGCCGGACTCCCGACTCGCTTTCGTGGAAACGGAACTGCGCCGTACTTTGAAGCCACTATCTACACTTGCTTCATCTGCCAGAGCCATTGACCAGGATCTCGCTGAATCCAATCCTAACAGGATCGACCACTTGCGCACGGTTATGACGTTCCAACTTCGCCAGATCGATCACATGCGCAATCACCTGAGAGCTGCGCTTGCGGAGATCACCACTACTCGACGGTTGGGTTACTTGACTTCCACGGACTGGGATTCCGAATTCAAGCGTTCCTTACTACGACAACCTTGGTCGGGTCCTACCCTTTTTAATGGTGCTATCTCCGCTACCCACACCCGCGTCTCCAGTTTCGCCAGGGATGAAACTGCTCTCAGAGCCTTGGAGCATGTAACACACCAATCAGCGGCCAAGTCCTCCAAAGGCAATTATAAACCACGCCGTTCCTCCCTCAAGGTCGTCTCCAAACATACCTCGCCCTTTCGTGGGACAGGGCGTGGTCGTGGTAGAGCCCGTGGCACTTACCAACCCCGAAGGGATCGTCGCCCCGGCAAGGGGGCCGATTCCACCTCAAAGCGTTGACCGGCGGCACCTCAACGACTGGGACCTCCCACCCCCAGTCGTTCCGGTCACCGACACACCTGTGGGTGGGAGACTAGGCCGGTTTTGGAGAAACTGGTACATACTGGAGGACCCGTTCGTCACCGACATCCTCCGTCAGGGGTACCGGCTCCCATTGTCTGCGCTGCCTCCTCTGACGTCTACTCCGTCAACGGCCGCTTATTCACCCCACCAGCTTCGGCCCCTTCACGACAGCATCCTTTCCCTACTGCAGAAGGAGGCCATAGAGATCGTACACGACCCGGCTCGACACCCAGGATTTTACTCTCCGGTGTTTCTGGTGCCCAAGAAGGGGACCACCAGCTGGCGCATTATACACAATCTCTCCACTTTCAACCGGCTCTACCTGGAACGTCCTCCCTACTTCCGAATGACGACGTTGCGACTGCTCAGGACGAGAATCTCAGCTGGCGATTCCCTGATCAGCCTCGACATCCAGGACGCCTATCTTCATGTCCCCATCCACCCCAACGACCGGCGCTTCCTCAGGTTCCTTTTCAATGGTACCCATTACCAGTGGGCGGTCCTACCATTTGGAATTTCTACGGCCCCGTGGCTTTTCACACGGATCACCCGCCCGGTCGCCGCCTACCTACACCTGAGGAACATCAACTTCGATCCATACATCGACGATTGTCTCCTCAACAATCGGGACTCGGCGTTGCTACTGCGTCACAGGGATTTTACCCTGCGGGTCTTCAATCAGTTGGGTTGGATCGTCAATCAGACCAAGTCGGAGCTGATCCCATCGTTCCGTCTGCAGTTTATCGGGGGCCTGTTTCTCACGGATCTGGACCTCCTTCAAGTCCCCAGAGACAGGTGGTTGAAAATCCTCGCTCATCTCTTCCCTGCCCTTCAACAGGCTCGAACTCTCCGCCAATGGCAGGTTCTATTGGGTCTCCTCACGTCGGCTCAAGACCTGACTGCCAGAGGTCGCCTCCAGCTCTGTCCAATTCAACGGTTTCTCGCACCCTTTATCCGGCAGCAGGATCCGGAGTCCCTCATCGTCCTCCCGATCCACCTCCACCCCTTCCTCCGATGGTGGACGGTGGAATCGAACGTCTGCGGCGGCGTCTCCTTGACCGCGCTACAGCCCTCCCTCCACCTGTTCGTCGACGCATCCAAACAGGGTTGGGGGGCTCATCTGGGGACTCAAACAGTTGCAGGGCTGTGGTCAGGAGATCGACTCTTCTGGCACAGCAACAACCTCGAACTCGAAGCTCTCATACTGGCCGTCTCCCACTGGCAGAGCATTCTCCGGCACGGCCAGTTGGCCATCTCCACGGACAACATCACCGTGGTGTGGTGTCTGAGGAATCAGGGTACTCTCCACTCTCAGTCCCTGCTCAACCAGACCTTCCGATTTTTCGACCTGGTGGACCGTTTAGACTTGCAATTCCTTGTTCAGCACATTCCAGGTTGCCCGAATGTTCTGGCAGACGCTCTGTCCAGGCCGGACAAGGTGGCTCCCACCGAATGGCGACTCCACCCAGAGATCTTCACAGTCCTTTGTCAAACGATCGCCTCTCCAAACATCGATCTGTTCGCCACGTCTCAGAACTGCCAGCTGCCGACTTACATCTCGCCGGTCCCGGATCCGGCCGCTGTAGCAGTCGACGCCTTCAGTGTTCCCTGGGAGGGATTAAGCGCGTACGCTTTTCCGCCTCCGGTTCTCCTTCCCAGGGTTCTTCAAAAGATCCAGGCCACTCGACACTTGACACTGATTTTGGCCGGCCAGAAGTTGGTTTGTCGACCTCCGAAACGTCGCCAGAGACAACCCTCTAGAACTGCCAGCGTGGTCCAACCTTCTGCTTCACCCACACAGTCGGTTGCCCCACCCAAGTCCCGCTCGGTTTCATCTGCACGCCTGGCACATCTGCAAAAAGCCCTAGGAGCCAAGGGCTATTCGACTAGAGCAGCCAAGGCTATTGCTTTCGCCCATCGTCCATCTACACGGGGACTATATGATGATAAATGGTCCTCGTTCCAGGCGTTCTGCTCTGACAAGCATCAGGATCCGATGACGGCATCCCCGCAGTTCCTGGCTGAGTTTCTTCTGTACTTGCGCAGCACGCGTCGATTAAAAGGCTCTACCATCTCCACGTACCTGGTCGCCATTAACTCCGTCCTTGCCATTCCGGACGACCGGAGAATGACGAAAATTCCCGAACTCCAGGCTATGCTGCGCTCGTTTCGTCTCGACGACCAGAAAGCCAAGTTCAGACCGCCTGCGTGGGATCTGAATGTGGTCTTAAAGGCTCTTCGGGAGGCTCCCTTCGAACCACTCCACACGTCTTCCTTTTACGACTTAACGAAGAAGACGGTGTTTCTACTGGCCTTGGCTACTGCCGCCCGGGTTAGTGAGCTCCACGCCCTCGACGTCTCTCGGGTCAGGTTCGAACGCGGGACTCATGGAGCAGTTCATCTTGGGCTGTGCTGGGACTTCATCGCAAAGAATCAACTCCCCGGACAGCCTGATAGATCCTTCACCATCCCTCCACTTTCGTCGATTGTGGGTGCCGATGACGTGGAGGAGCTCTTATTATGCCCAGTTAGGGCCCTGAAGGTTTTCCTGCGACGGTCTAAAGCCTGCCGTAAGTCTAGGAAACGCCTTTTCCTACCGGTCTCCCCTTCGTCGCTGTCGGAGGTCAGCCGGAATACTATCTCCCTGTGGCTCCGGGCGGTCATCCTCCAATCTTATAAAGTCGCCGGATTGGACCCCCCCAAGGCTAACAACCCCCACGAGATTCGGGCGGTCGCGTCTACCATGGCTCTGCACAGTAACTGTTCCCTCAAATCTATCATGGAAGGCTGTTTTTGGCGTTCCGACACCGTTTTCGCCAACCACTACCTCCGTGATGTAGCCTTGGAAGATGTCGCTGGCGTTCATAGCTTTGGTCCCCTGGTGGTAGCTCAACAGGTCACCAACCCCCGACGCCACTGATTCTCCGTTACCCTGAGCGGGGCCCGTCGACCTCTCTGGTGTTTATCACCACAGATTAGAGGGCTCTACTGCGTTCCGCATTCGCTCTTAGGTCAGTGCTAGTTTTGGCATTCCCGCCTCATACTATTTCTGTCACCTATTTCGGGTTCCCTCTTTTGCATCGACTCTCGTTTCCTTTCACAGGAATGGTCGCTGGTGTTCCGGTCATCGCTTGTCCATGCGGTGCGATTTCATCGGACCTTTGTCGAGGGTTTTCTTCTGGCTCACATCTGAAGGTATGCCCACCGGCCGTGCCGTCTGATAAAGATGCAATACGGAGTAATGCAGGATAAGTTAAAAAATTTAGTAAAATCTAAATATTTTTTACATTTGTATACTTATCCTGCATTACGAAGTCTAAGTGCCCCCCCTGCGCTCCGCTTCCTCCCCACGAAGTTTCCGATGTTATGTTAAAGCAGTTATGAGTTTTGACATGACGTCATGTCTTCCGGGTCACGTGCCGACTGTGTGGGAGGGGGCGCTGCTTCCTGGACAGATGGAAACAACTTTCTTCAGCAGCTGGATCTCACACAGTTCGTCTCTCTGTCAAAGACATCAGTAAATGCAATACGGAGTAATGCAGGATAAGTATACAAATGTAAAAAATATTTAGATTTTACTAATTTGTTAAGGCTTTGGTGTCAAGTATTGCTTTCAGGACATAAATGTCAAAACCAATCTGACATCGTTTCTTAATGTGTATTTGTTTTGTCTCATGTCAATTGGAATATTAACGTCCACGAAACAAGTTGAATTGATTGACCTCGGGAAAGTTGGTTATGGTCAGCTCAGTTGTCTAGGGCGCCGCAATTCACTGTGTAGAGTTGTGTCCCTTGGGCATTCTAGAAAACACAAGTTTGCTTGATACACAAGTTTTAGTTATTTCTGCAGTATTCAATGAGATCCTTTTCTTTCCAACAGATTGTTTGTAGGAGTACCAGCCCCCTTGCTAACGAGTCGAGAGAGAAGGTTTCCCTCTTCTGCCATGTGGCGCCAGCACAGGTGGGTGGACATCTCGCACAGCCCAGCCCCCATCACTGGGACAGAGCAGTGCTTAGTATATGTGACATCACAAGTAATACAGGTTGAATACTGACACCACAAGTAATACAGGTTGAATACTGACACCACAATTGCTACTATACGCCTAATGATCTTCAGTAATAACATCACAAAATGCTACCATACACCTTATCTATCTCACACTATGCATTTCTTCCTTCTGTTTTCGATCCTTATGACCGCCTCCATGGTCTAGAGGTAGAGCTTCCGCCCGGAGAACAGTAGGTCTGGCGCTCGATCCCCAGCCATGTCATACCAAAAGACGTTAAAAGATGATACTTGTTGTTACCATGTCTGGCGCTTGGTATTAAGGGGCTAAAACAAGGATTGGTCGGCTCAAAAGTCAATATACTGTGTCTGAGTAGGGTATTCATGTTAATCTGCGACATGGTATCTCAGTGGGTTAGCACTATAAATCGGCATCAGTCCAGACTAGTACAAGCAGCCACACACACACACATGCATGCACGTCGCCATATATCTTGGGTGCGACGTTAAACCCAATTTCACCTCGCCTCACCTACGATACTTATGTGGAAATTTGCTTGATAAAAAATTCCAGCATCTAAAAACATCATGAGTTTTCATGTGACAATACGATACACAATACACTTTTTGTATCGATACAAGACGATACACTTGCTGAAATAATACTTACTACTCTTTTGATGACCCCTGGTGTTTTTGTAAGTCAGAAAGAGCAAATTGTTGTTGTGATTAGCATTTCAAGTTCACAACTAGAAGTAACCACTACAGCCAGCTTTTTCTTTTGAACCTGCCCTGAAATATTGTCAGGAAGTTTCCATGCGATTTGATGTAAATATATGTGTATCACAATATGTATCAGATTGTGATACTTATCATATCATGACCTTGCTGTATCGTTTCACCCCTCGTGACCTTACACAGCATGATCACATGACTACCCCTGCCAGCTGATTTTCATTGTCAGCTCCCTCGGGACTAAACAACCCAAGCTGCATTACCAACTCATCCTTCCAAGTACCCATTCACTGCTTGGTGAACAGTCATATTTAGAACCAAGTCATTTGCCTACGAGACACCACAGCGGTAGAAACTAACATTTTTAGTCCACTAGTTCTCATAATGATAACATATAGCAAAACCTTTAAAAATGGCAAATTTCTACTTGTCCATATGATACCTTAACTATTGGGCAGTTTGGCAAGGACTACAGGACTAGTGCCAATTTCTAACGCTGCACCACATTAAACATGTACTTCAGTGTCGTCAGGACTGAAGCCCCCAAAACTCACATAAGTCAAGCAGCTGAACACTGTCACCCATGCACTCAGTGACCAATGGTACCTCTCTTCGGCTAATCGGTGCCCTGTACACAGAGGATCACGTGCCACCACTATATCCTGTTATACAGTCTGGGGGGCACAGGTGGCCCAGTCGTCTAAGGCGCCGCGATTCACTGTGCAGAGCTGCGTATCCTGGGCACGCCAGAAACCTATGATTGTGGGTTCGAATCCCGGTTCGCCACGACTGTATTTCTAGATTTTCACCGAAGTGGTAAACGTCTGAGACTTGCATCACTTTGGGCTTTCCTCACACATAAAGCTGACACGCCGTGATATAACTGGAATAATGTTAAAAGTGGCGTTAAACCCAACTCACTCACTCACTCACTCTTATGCAGCCTTGTTGCATGTTGCAGGTGATCTGTATACACGATGTGTCGTCCATCTACCGTGTTCCTCTACTGCTGGAGCAGCAGGGTGTCCCTGACTTCTTCATCAACCGGCTCCATCTCCAGGCCCCCAGAGTGCAGTCCCAGCGCCTGCTGTTGCGCTGGAAGGAGCTAGCGGACAGATACGACCGGCTGCTGAAGGAGGTCACAATAGTGTTGGTGGGGAAGTACACGAAGCTGGAGGATTCCTACGCATCTGTTGTCAAGGCTCTCAAACATGCTGCTCTAGCTGCTAGTCACCGACTGGATCTCAAGGTTCGTAACAGCCTGGTAATGTTCCAGGGGTCAAACTGCGATGTACTATTGTGAAGACCCTTGAAGATTTCCGTAGAAAGAGTAGAGTCTTCAGCAACCCATGCTTGCTGTAAAAGGCGACTATGCTTGTCATAAGAGGCGACTAACGGGATCGCGTGGTCAGGCTCGCTGACTTGGTTGATACATGTCATCGTATCCCAATTGCGTGGATCAATGCTCATGATGTCAATCACTGGATTGTCTGGTCCAGACTCGATTATTTACAGACCGCCGTCATATAGCTGGAATATTGTTGAGTGCAGTGTTAAACAACAAACAAATAATTCTAATGTGAAAATGACACGATTAGAATCATAAGGAACTGGTTTATAGATGTTTTCCATGCCATTTTCATTATTGCCTTCACTTTAGCACAAGCATTTCTGTCTTGTGCTGTGACGATGGGGTAGCCTTGTGGTTAAGTGTTTGCTCGTCACTCTGAAGTCCAATGGGTACAATGTGTAAAGCCCATTTCTGGTGTCCCCACGCTGTGATATTGCTTGAATATTGCTAAAAGTGGCGTAAAACCATACTCACTCACTCACAATGTGAGGAGCCCTTTTTCTGGTGTCCCCTGCTGAGATATTGCTGGAATATTGCTAAAACCTAAAAAAGAAAGAAGTGTAAAAGCATACTCACTCTGCCCTCTGCGCCATCTCTGGGGTACATGGCGTGTGTGACTTGAAGGGGAAAGTTTATGCATCCATGATGCATGTGAATTTGAACTAGATGCATGTTGATCGTAATGTGGAAAACATAAACAAAGTGTCATATCTGATTTTGTCAACAAAATTATTATTTTCGAAAGGATTTACTGTTATACAGTATGTGATGGTAAAAGTTTCTTTACATATTTTACAGTTTCATATTTATTTGCAAACTTTTAGGATCTTGTCCATTTTGTATTTACAATACACTTAGTTTACCAAAAGTGTTTTTTCTGGTGGTGTGCAGTATATAGAGGCTGCCCATCTGGAACCAGCCATGCAGCATGACGATGCACAGTGTTACCACCAGGCCTGGAGGGAGCTGGTCGGGGCCAAGTGAGGAACTCAGGTTTTATATTTAAAATGAGGGCAGTGGTTAGCTTAATCACCTGGGCCCTGTTCCACAAAGCGATCTTAATGCTACAACTGTCGTAAGCCTATGTTAAAGTATGCGAGTTACAGTCATCTTAATGCTACAACTGTCATAAGCCTATGTTAATGTATGGGAGTTAACCTCATCTTAACGCTACAACTGTCATAGACCTATGGTAAAGTATGGGAGTTACCATCATCTTAATGCTGCATCTGTCATAAGCCTATGTTAAAGTATGGGAGTTACGATCATCTTAATGCTGCATCTGTCGTAAGCCTATGTTAAAGTATGGGAGTTACGATCATCTTAATGCTGCATCTGTCGTAAGCCTATGTTAAAGTGTGGGAGTTACGATCATCTTAATGCTGCATCTGTCGTAAGCCTATGTTAAAGTGTGGGAGTTACGATCATCTTAATGCTGCATCTGTCGTAAGCCTATGTTAAAGTGTGGGAGTTACGATCATCTTAATGCTGCATCTGTCGTAAGCCTATGTTAAAGTGTGGGAGTTACGATCATCTTAATGCTGCATCTGTCGTAAGCCTATGTTAAAGTATGGGAGTTACGATCATCTTAATGCTGCATCTGTCGTAAGCCTATGTTAAAGTATGGGAGTTACGATCATCTTAATGCTGCATCTGTCGTAAGCCTATGTTAAAGTATGGGAGTTACGATCATCTTAATGCTGCATCTGTCGTAAGCCTATGTTAAAGTATGGGAGTTACGATCATCTTAATGCTACAACTGCTGTAAGCCTATGTTAATGTATGGGAGTTGCAAACATCTTGGCGCTAAGATAGCTTTGTGGAATGGGGTCTTGAGCATTCACTTGCCATTCAGAAGAGCCAGGGGGGCGGTAGGGTAGCCTAGTTGTTAAAGCGTTCGCTTGTCACGCCAGGTTCGATTCCTGACAAGGGTACAATGTGTGAAGCCCATTTCTGGTGTCCCCTGCCGTGATATTGCTGGAATATTGCTAAAAGCAGCGTAAAACCATACTCACTCACTCGGAAGAGCCAGGTTCAATTTCTCACAATTATAGAATGAATGGTTGCAGGATTTATCAGATGTACAATGTAGGCCAATTAAGAATTATTGAAAATGTATCATTTTGTTTTGCAAGATCTGTATGAAGCTCACATCCATAACTACTCTTTAAATTGATAAGTGATTCCAAAGAGATTAGTGGCATGATCTGTCTTAGAATAGGTTCCAAAACCTTAGGATGATGTGATGTCTTCTTCAGTATGACTGTGAACAGAGGCCTATTGGGATGGGTACAGGGATGTGTCTAGGCCTGTTTAGACACCGATATTCGTCCCAAGTTGGAAGCAAATTCAGAAAAAGTCATGTTCTTATCATGTTATAGCAGTTATTAAAAAAGACATTTCAGGTTTCTATCACTAATTTTTACCTTATGTGTGATCGATACTTGTATTGAGAAGTACATAATCGCGATCCACAGGTACATAGTGTATTGTCCTGCTACCAGTTTGTACCCCATAGTGTCCTACTGAGAGTCCCCTGGAACTAGGTAAATCCCTACATGGAATCTGTTTCTTTCAGTGGCATCATCGTCCCTGGAGGCTTCGGTAGTCGCGGCACCGGGGGGATGATCATGGCTGCCAACTGGGCCAGAAAGAAGAAGATCCCTTACCTGGGTACGAGTTGCTGATGTCAGCCATGTGTACTGATGAACACGTTGGTTGGTTGGTTGGTGTTAGTTGGTTGGTTGGTTCCGCACACAGCAATATTCAAGCTATATGACGGCTGTCTGTAAATAATTGAGTCTGGACCAGATAATCAATAGATTGACATCATGATCATCGATGACATGCATCAACCAAGTCAGCGTGCCTGACAACCTCACCCTGTCAGTCGCCTCTTACGACAAGCATAGTCGGAATGGGTTGCTGAAGACCTATTCTAACCCGGATCTTCCCTGGTCACTGATAAATATATACAAAACTCAGAGGGCTCAGGAGTGTTCTGGTATTTCACTTAATTGGGATGGAAGAAGAAACTACAAAGAAACCAAACATTTTTCTGCAATAATCGAAATATGTTTGCTGTGAAGTGTGGTTGCTGGTTGTGCATTATCCCCATGTTTCTACAGGGGTGTGTCTGGGGCTGCAGTGTGCTGTCATAGAGTTCTCCAGGAATGTCATAGGCTGGGAGGATGCTGACTCTACAGAGTTCAATGCAAAAACATCCAATCCTGTGGTAAGTATGGCCACACAAGGGGGACTTTGTTCTTTATATTTGTCCTTTGCTAGTCATGCTTGCTGTGATAATAGGTGGCACAGGTGGCCCAGTTGTCCAAGGTGCCTCGATTTTCTGTGCAGAGTTGCCTGCCTTGGGCAGGCCAGAAACCTATGATTGTGGGTTCGAAACCCATTTCGCCCCGATTATGTTTCTAGGTGTGTCAGCACCATATCCGTGCGCTTGGGTTTCGAAATGGTAACGTCTGAGACCTACATTACTTCGGGCTTTCCTCCCACATTAAGCTGACACGCTGCGATATAACTGTAATACCTACATTTTAAAAACAATTGTTTTCATTGTTTTTGTATGCTATATCTACCTTGCACAATGTACACAAACGTAGACTTTTAAGACTTAAATTCCGTTCTAGTATTTTTCTAACTGATGTTGTCACTCAAGTTTTATATGAAATTATTTTCAAGTATTCCAGAAATCTTTTATAGTGTTTATGCCCTTTGAAATATAAGACTTCACGCAATATTGCTGCAAATTAAGTCCAGCAGTACATATCGTATCATGAACAAAGCATCGCGATATGTATTGTATCGGAGGTGGTCCTATGGTGAAGAAAGCATCGCGATACGTATTGTATCGGAGGTGGTCGTATGGTGAAGAAAGCTCTGGATACGTATTGTATCTGAGGTGGTCGTATGGTGAAGAAAGCATCGCGATATGTATTGTATCGGAGGTGGTTGTATGGTGAAGAAAGCATCGCGATATGTATTGTATCGGAGGTGGTCGTATGGTGAAGAAAGCATCGCGATATGTATTGTATCGGAGGTGGTCGTATGGTGAAGAAAGCATCGCGATATGTATTGTATCGGAGGTGGTCCTATGGTGAAGAAAGCATCGCGATATGTATTGTATCGGTGGTGGTCATGTGGTGAAGAAAGCATCGCGATATGTATTGTATCTGAGGTGGTCGTATGGTGAAGAAAGCATCGCGATATGTATTGTATCGGAGGTGGTCGTATGGTGAAGAAAGCATCGCGATACATATTGTATCTGAGGTGGTCGTATGGTGAAGAAAGCATCGCGATACGTATTGTATCGGAGGTGGTCGTATGGTGAAGAAAGCATCGCGATACGTATTGTATCGGAGGTGGTCGTATGGTGAAGAAATCATCGTGATATGTATTGTATCGGAGGTGGTCGTATGGTGAAGAAAGCATCGCGATATGTATTGTATCGGAGGTGGTCATATGGTGAAGAAAGCATCGCGATATGTATTGTATCGGTGGTGGTCGAATGGTGAAGAAAGCATCGCGATATGTATTGTATCGGAGGTGGTCTTATGGTGAAGAAAGCATCGCCATATGTATTGAATCGGAGGTGGTCATATGGTGAAGAAAGCATCGCGATACGTATTGTATCGGAGGTGGTCGTATGGTGGCATGCCTACTCAGCACTGTATCTCTGGTTATGGAGACCTGTTTGATGACATTGCAGGTGTTCGAGATGCCAGAGCACAACCCGGGCCAGATGGGAGGGACCATGAGACTTGGACAAAGGAAGACTATCTTCACGTCGCAGGACTGTTTACTTAGTAAGTTGGTCTTTTCCCTGCTGCAACCATTGATGCATCATACTCAGATGTGACCAAATGATCCCCATGCACAGGGATTTAGCTAGTCCTGCTCAGAGGCTGATATTTAGCCCAAATGAAATAAAATTGTCCTAATTCATGCAAAAATAGTGTCGTGACTTTGTTGAAGGGATTTGTTTTCCACTGATAGTAAGACAATAAAGGAGGAATAGGCTTCATTTTATATAATTGCATTTAATACCTTTTTTCACAATTTTGCTGCCAAAGGCACTTAATTTGAAATCCCAGATAAATCCCTGCATGTTAGTCCTCAGACACTGAGTTGTCTCCCTTGAGAGAGAGAGAGAGATTTTAGCGAAAAGATAAATTGTCCAGGTAAATGCTTGAAGCTTCAGATTGTTGAAAAGTTGATATGCTGTGATCTAATTGAGATACTCTTCAAAGGGACGTGGAAATAATGTTAATAATGTACATAGAATAAGTCTTCAGCAACCCTTGCTTGCCTTAAGAGGCGACATGCTCGATGAAAGAGGCTACTAACAGGATCGGGTGGTCAGGCTTACTGACTTGGTTGATGCATGTCATCATATCCCAATTGTGTAGATCGATATTCATGATCTCAATCACTGGATTGTCTGGTCCAGATTCAATTTTTCACAGACCGCTGTTACATACCTTGAATATTGCTGAGTACGGCGTTCAACAAATGATATTGTACATAGTCTTTGCAACTTTGCATCAGTTCTTTTATTAACTTGCTAATTTCAGGGAAGTTGTATCATAACAAGGACAGTGTTGATGAGAGACATCGCCATAGATACGAGGTGAGTCCATGACTTCCTGGACAATATTACAATATTACTACACTACATTATGGGACTAATTTTCGTAGAGGGGACTAACGGGATCTGGTGCTCAGGCTCGCTGACGTGGTTAATGCATGTCGTCAAATCTGAATTGCATGGATTGATGCCCATGTTAATCACTGGTCCTGACTTGATTATTTTTCAGACCGTCATCATACAGCTGGAATATTGCTGTGTGCGGCGTTAAACAACAAACAAACAAAACTAATTGGCTGTAGGCCAGTAAGGTTGCCACAAGGCAATTCGTCCACTCTATTGACATCGTGTCCTCCCCATCCTGGATGCAATGTTTAGATCTCCATAACATGTCAACATGGAGGTCACTGCAACTGAGAATGAGTCGAATGAGATCTGCTAACAGTTGTAAGACGTTTATGTCTCAGCCCTCGAAGTGGTGACCATTTTGGTGCAACTTAAATCTATGATTGGCAAACTATATTTATCTACTGCTCGCCCCTTGGCTACCTAAAAGTCAACATAACTGGTGACAATATCTGTTGGCTCCTATAAACTTAGGTTTGGCTCCTCCTAAAATATACAGATTAGGAGCCGTTTGGCTGCCTAACAAAAAAGACGAACTAAGAGTCTGCTAATCCAAATTGTTCTTGTGACTTGAGCCATGTCACGCCCTACACTAAGGTCTCTTTGCTGGTCCTTTTTGTCCCCTGGAATATGACATTATGTTCACTTGAGTTTCATCCTGCTGATGTGAGTTTCACTCTATAATGTACACCCTCCTGTGTTGTAGAGGACCGCCTAACTGGTCTAGTGGTAGAGTGTCCACCAGGAGAGCGGAAGGTCCGGGGTTGGATCCCCAAACACGTTATACCTAAATACGTTAAAAGATGGTACTTGTTGTGACCCTGTCTGGTGCTCGGCATTAGGGGGCTAAAACAAGGACGGGTTGGCTCGGAGTCAGTATACTGTGTCTGAGTGGGGTATTCATGTTAAACTGCAGCATGGTATCTCAGTGGGCTAGCACTATAAATCGGCATCAGTCCGGACTAGTACAAGCAGGGAGACACACATGCTTGCACGTTGCAAGATAAGTGCCACTTGATATGGTAACAAGGAGTGTTCTGGTATTTCGCAAGCACGCACACACAGACATTAAACCCCATTTTACCTCGCCTGTGTTGTAGGTAAACCCCAAAGTGGTAGAAGAACTAGAGAAAAATGGAATGAAGTTTGTGGGACGCAGTGAGGATGGAGAACGCATGGAGATCATGGAACTACAAGGTGAGTGGTAGTTCACAGCTAGCAATTGGAATTCTCAGAGCTGTTAGTGTCTTTGGTGAAACATTAGCGGTGGTTTGACAAGGGAGCTAACTCTGCTAACTTAATCAAAAGTGCAAGGTGGGCCCATATTCGAAACTGAAGCATTTGTTCTCTCATGTGCAAGGGAATACAACTGTATTTTTGTACATGCATTCAACCAGTGGGTATTGCGTAAGTGAATAGGACTTCATTAACTCGTCAGCAGTATTGCTGGTACTTTGACATGTTAACTTTCTTCAGCTGCAACCACTGCTTTTTAAGTGTTGTCAGTATTAGAGCCATTTTGAAATTGCATCTTTTCATTTGATGAAGAAACAAAGTTGTTAAGGCACTAGCATCAACTTTTTAATGTGTATTGAAGTAGCTTCAGTAGTAAAGACTTACATTTCAGATGATCCCTGCTTTGTTTGTGTAAACCATGAATATCCAGGTTAGAATTGGTCTTCAGCAACCCATGCTTGTCATAAGAGGTGACAAACAGGATTTGAAGTTGTGGCATTAAACAACAAACAAATAATAATGTATATAGTCTTATCTGTTTTGGGGTAAATCAATTCATTTATTTATTTGCTGATTTCAGGGAAGTTGTATCATAACACTGGATTGTCTTTTCCAGATGTGATAATTTATGGACCACCGTCATATAGCTGGAATATTGCTGAGTGCCGCTCTAAACAATAAATAAACAAACAAAACTTTGTATGTTTTCATCATTCTCATGGCTTCAGTAGTGAAGTTTTACTTTTCAGATCATCCCTACTTTGTTGGCGTGCAGTATCACCCCGAGTACATCTCCCGACCAATGAAGCCTTCTCCGCCCTACCTGGGGCTCCTCCTGGCTAGCTGCGGACGCCTGCAGTCATTCGCTAATCGTGGCTTCCGACTCTCCCCTAAAATGTCCTATTGTGAAGACGAAGATGAACTGTCCGATGAAGAACTCACCAATATCACATCACAGATGAACAATGACACCTCAAACTCGAGCTCATCCTAGAAGGTGTTCGGTCAAACTGATACAGTTTCATGCATCTTGACACGCTGGAGCAAAGTGGGAAACTCAGTACTATTGGTTGCTGTGAGTCTGGATGTAAAATCACAGTCACGATGACTGTGTCCTGCAGGTGAAATACAGGTTTCTGTGAATCTGTATGTAAGCCAAGGAAGTTAACTAAGTGTAATGGTCCAGTTTCAACCCTTGTCAGACTAGGCTGGAATCTCATGGCTCTGTCGTAGCGCCACCAGTGGCTATTACAAGTTATGTCCCTCCAATTGACCAATCAGATTCCACCTCTCACATTACATGCATTTCCTTCATACAGAATGATGGACCCCAGTCATGATTGACGATCTGATCGATAATCAGGATCTATGTTGTCATTAAATGGGTCTTAGCTTTGGAAGATTTGGAAAATATCTGTTAACGCCCACTTGAAGGTACACATGCTTTGCAGATTCCTGCAATCGACCAAAATGTTGTTAACGAACGGATATTGATTTTGTTTAGCGATTTTTGGATTGGTTTATGTATAGACTTGTTATTCCAGCCAAAGTCGGAAATTCCAGCCTAGTTCGGCAAGGGTGGAAACTGGACTTACATAGTCAGTTGACTCCTTGACACAGGAAGATGGATGTAAGAGTGTTACGATGACTGTTGTACAGGTGAAATTGCAGGTCAAGGACAAATAGCTTTTCTTCTTTTCTTAAATATTGCTTAATTTTAATAAGTGTACCCAATGTGGAATGCAGTGAGGGAAGCTTAAATAGTGATACTGTTATTAGTTTTAACAATGCCCCTCCCTCATGAGGGTTTGGTTTATTTTTAGTCAGTTCCACTACTTTCAATACTTGTAGTGAGGTTTAGTGATTGTAATCTACATGCAGGAGACATCTGCCAATGTAACTATGTTCTCATATAGTGTTGTTCTACCGCTGTTCGCCTGCTGAACACATACAAATAATTCGAGAAGAGACCTGTTTGATCATGTATGAAATGGATTTAAGATTTTGTTTCTTCCAAATCCTTTTTGCTTCCTGAGATTTGTTTTCCATCGGTAGTGTAGATGTTGTGACCGTCAGTGTTTTGATTTACAAATGGAGGAAAGATGGCTCCACATATAATGTTGCATATGCCTTTTCAGACCCGTGAAGAAACGGGATAGAATAGGTCTTCAGCAACCCATCCTTGCCGTAAAAGGCGACTATGCTTGTCGTAAAAGGCGACTAACAGGATCGGGTGGTCAGGCTCGCTGACTTGGTTGATGCATGTCATCGATTCCAATTGCGTGGAACGATGTTCATGATGTAAATCACTGGATTGTCTGGTCCAGACTCGATTATTTACAGACCGCCGTCATGTAGCTGGAATATTGCTGAGTGCGGCGTAAAACAACAAACCAAACCAAAAAGCAAATGCCTGTTCAAAAATAGATTTTATTTCTAATATCGTTAGATGAGGGTGCAAGGTGAGTTTCAGTGGGTAAAGGATTGCTTCCAATAGTATGAGAAGTTTCTAGATACTCAGAGCCAGGAACAAGCGTACATAAGAAGGCATGTATTCCAACATAAAACTTGATGCGTTTATTGTTGGTGGAGTGGGCGAGTTGTGTTAACACCACTTTGAAGAGGACTCCTGCAGCTGTCAAAGCAATGATTATGAAAAGGGTGAATCTTGGATTCGAAACCCATGATTGTAACAGTATGGGGGGGGGGGGTCCACGGGTGGCCCAGTCGTCTAAAGCGCCGCGATTCGCTGTGCAGAGTTGCGTCCCTTGGGCACGCCAGAAACCTATGATTGTGGGTTCAAATCCCGGTTCGCCCCGATTATGTTTCTAGGTTTGTCAGCACCATACCTGTGCTCATGGGTTTCACCGAAGTGGTAAACGTCCGAGACCTGCATCACTTAGGGCTTTCCTCCCACATTAAGCTCACATTCACATGCCGCGATATAACTGGAATGCTGTTAAAAGCAGCATTAAACCCAACTCACTCACTCACTTACATTATAGGGTCATTGTGGGCATAATGGATGCACCTCAGGGATGATGCGACTTGACTGCCTTTACATCTATTGTTGAATTATTTGTTTTTTAATCAGTAATCAGGATAATGAAGGTGCTCAATCTAAAAAAGAAAAGGCTGCAGGAAAATACATACACAGAGAAAGTTCAGGGAATTTTAAATCTTAAGAAATGTAATATCCTGACCTACCCCATTTTTGAACAGTTAAGATGGCATTGCTAATATTTCGAGGGAAATACTACATACCAGTAGGTGATGTTTGCAACAATAGAATTCAGCTCCATACCGAAAGAAAAACAATTCTGGATAAGAGGCGTGACCTCATTTGCATGGTCTGTAAACTTCCACTGCACTTAAGTGATGTCTTCTATTTTCGAACACCTAGTTGGTTTGGTACTTTGGCGGGGTTTCCATGAATGAACAGACGTGTTTTGGCACACCGTTCTGAACATATTTCTTGCAAGTTGGCATTTAAACTCAAACAGTACTTGAAAGTTTGAAATCCTAGTCACAAAATATGAATATTTGTCAAGTGATTATGTTCACACTATTCCATTCTTCCTGTTCATCATGGCACAGGCTCAAATTCTGAATGACGAGGGACTGTTCTGACAGTACAGTACTTCACATGAACCCAATGTTGACTGGTCAAACATGTGCCTCGTTGACATCCCACCTGACAAAATCACTTTCAGTGTGGCTGTTTGAAATTAGGTGTTGTTCGAAAATAGGGTACTTGGCGATATATTGTCATAAAAAGTGAATAGTATAAAAAATATGTATGCTACTAAAAAGAAAGGGAAAGACCACCTGATTCTTTCATATTGCTATTGCTATTGCTATTGCATGGCATGGCATGACATTAAGATTAACTGTAATATAAAACAATCTTGTAGTCTTTAACTTTCTTTTGAGTAGTATATTCTATAGTTCATCTGAAGCTTGTTGAGAATGGTTATGATTGGTGATGTTTGGCCGACTTTGGAAACAAGATCTACCCTTGTTTAAACGTAATGTTAAGTTTATTGACATCTGATAGTAAGCTTCACAAAGGAATAGTTTGGTTTGTCTCAATACATAGATTTTACTGCTGTTATAGTGGATGCTTCCGTTCCAATGGTATCCCCGACACATTGTTGGTATATACCCAGATGTGTATATATTTGTGTTGTTAATGCTCAAGTTATTCCTTTCATATGTGTTCAAGCTATTATACAGTACAAGGACCATCATTTCTCAGTTGTTTTCAGGAAAACAGGAAAAGTCTGTTTCACTTTTAGAAGAAGCTTTGACACACACACACATTCACATGACATGTAGTAATAGCTCTTGCTGAACCATAGAAGAAGTCTTATCATAACTTATAAATCCTTATAAGGATGCTTCTTTGTATATGTGTACATCTGCAGTGCCGTAGCCAGCCGGGGGGCAGGGAGGGCAGTTGCCCCCCTAGATTTTTTATACAAAACAGTTTTATTTGAATCAAGTTGGGGACAAGTAATACTTGTACAAATAATTGCATCCCCTGTCAAAAAAAGTTAACTACGGCTCTGATTTATATGTCATTTTGAAATTGTCTTTTTTGCCTATTTCTGCATTTATTATGAGAATTTATAGAATGTGTTATTTTTTTGCTGCACAACCCACAATAGCTTTGATCGATGCTCATGATGTCAATCACTGGATTGTCTGGTCCAGACTCCATTATTTACAGACCGCCATCATATAGCTGGAATATTGCTGAGTGCAGTGTTAAACAACAAATTAACAAAAAACATGTAGTCTGCAGCTTTAGCCACTAGTCCCTAGCCCTTGTCTACTGAAATTGTGTTTGGTCTAAACACCTCAGCTGTAATAGTACATTTAAAAACACTAATCGTGATTGAAAATGATGCTAAGAGCCAAGTTCTGACCAGTCTCAAACATTTTTGGCACAGACCATGTATCATTTTGAACTGTCATACAATAAACATGTCGTATGATACATATTGTGTTTTGATCTCCGACGTGCAACACAGCTTTAGACTTGAACCTCAAAGTAACACTGGCTGCCCATGAAGATGTACTTTCTGGCCACTTTAATATTAGCCAGTTATGCATATAGAATGTGTTGAATTATTTCTGAAAAGTTCAGGTGAGCTAGAGCCTTGTGGATACTTCTGCATCATAACCCACTGGCAGTTTTGTGTATGAATATATGTGTCTCCTGTCAGATATCATATATCAGTCGACTTCAAAAAGAGAAGTATGACGGTGTCATGTTTAAATTTCTCAAGATTGGACATCTGTTGTGCTTCTGAACAGAAACTTTGCATACAGTGCATTACACTATGAATTTATGAAACAGGATATCTTACATTTCTGTAGGCATAGATCTTAGCATATTTTGTCAATATACTCACTACGTACATGATGTAAGACTTGACAGATATGTCCCAAAATCTTGTTTTCATTGCAAGCATATGAGAATGATTGATAGACAGGGAACCCTGTCAATTTTCATGCCAATGGTCTGTTTTTGATCAAGATCACGGTTCCCTACAACTGTTATTAAATATGTGCATACAGTCAAGTCCCGTTAATCCGACATGATTGGTTGCATATGATTATGTCGGATAAACGAAATTAAGTGGTATCAACGTTCATGATAGAAAAACTACATGATAGATAACAATACAAACACTAATTGTTTATCGTTAAGCAAGTTTATCTCCGCAGCCGTTGTAATATGCAGCTACCAGCTGACTAGTCTCGCATCAAAAGACGGGCTGTGGATTACTGTGTCGGAATAACGAGAGTGATTAATGAGTGATTTAGGTAATTCGTTGCAAATAAGGTGTGTTGGAGTGCGAGACTGTCGGATTAACGAGACTTGGCTGTATATAGATATATGATATACCGGTAGATGTATAATACTGATATAGGGAGAAATTAGTCTCAGTGAGCCTTGTTATTTTGCTTGAAATCTCTTGCTTGAAGCCCCATGTATCAAACATTGTCCAGGTCATTTAAAGTTCAATTATTTCACTTGGCATATACATGTATATACATATTTCTCATTAATTCCCTGAAACTATATAATATAATGCCAACTCATTCCTTGATCAATTTTATTTAGAGGTGATTCCTAAATTTATCTGCACTAAAATGTCCATGTGTTCATATTCTGCTGTGAATGTATTTCTTTTCTGCTAATGTCAATTGTCCTCAACGTGTTGAAAATTTTTATGCCTCAAATAAAACTTTTGATGGTCTGGCGTTGCTTTGGTTATATTTGTAATATACTACTCAAAATCCTGCAATCGATCGAAATCTGCACGACAATTTAGGAACTGGATTTTGATTTCAGTGTGCGACTCTGATTGGATTATGCATAGACTCGTTAGTCCAGCCAAAACTCCATAATTTCATTTAGTGCTTCTCACTAAATGGGTTTATTGAAACCATACTGCACCTCTTTGTTTATCTCCTTACGTCATTTCCTCTTACAATCCCCCGCCACTTATGTCATAATTCTACTTCCTATGATGTCATCAAACTTTCTCTTGCGTCATCACCATCTTCATCACCATCATCCGTTAGTTCTGTCATAGGGTCAAGTTACCTGGCCCGGGCCCAACGCTTTCTGGTAGAGAGCCGGTCTGGCTGGCCTTCCAACTACTTGTGGATGGCTCGCGGTGAGATGGTGTGGCAGGAGCTAATGCCCCTGGTCGAGCGACAGCTAGCCAGGACTGGCCAGCATCCCAGGACCATACTTATACATCTGGGATCAAACGATATTTGTAAGAGGAAGGCCAGCCAGCTGTACCTGGACATTTACCTGGCTATGTTGAGGCTCCACCTGCTAATGGCCCGGACCACCATCCTTTGGTCTGACTTGCTACCAAGGAGGCACTGGCATGGAGCCAATTGCTACGATGCAGTGGAAATTGCTAGGAAAAAGGTCAACAGACGGTTGGGCAACCGTGTCAGGGAGCTTGGGGGGAAGCATATCCAGCATCCCAAGATTTGCGCTGGGGATAGTTCCCTATATATTTGGGATTGAGTCCATCTATCAGTCAAAGGACTCCAAATTTTTACAAGCGCAATCCGCGAAGCCCTATGCCAAATGTAGGTAGTAAGTGAAAGAAAAGTAAGTGACACTTAATTCTTTCGTCTGTGGCTAGTTAGGGGGATCCCTCATGGTTCATGGTCTTCGGTGTGCGCTTAGCACATGCGTGCTGTTGGCGTGGTTCTTGTGGGCTACAAATGTAAATACTTTATCACCAAGTAATCATCAAAATTATCAGGTCCCTGCTCATCAGCGGGAATCTGTTCAGTCCCTCTGCTTCTCAGCGGATGGGAACCTTTAGGCTTAACTTAATTCATGTCTGCTTTTCAGCAGAAACTTAGTATTTTGCTGCTGGCAACATAGTTGCCCATTGCTGCTGCTGGCAACATAGTTGCCCATTGCTGCTGCTGCTGCTGCTGCTGCTTGCTGCTTGCTGGTAACTTAAGTTGCCAAATATAATTCATTATAATAATAGCTTAGGGCAGCCCACAAGTCCTGCCACACCTATGACCTTGAACCCAACATATGCCTTTCTTATTTCTCTTGCCTTGTCAACTTTGACAAGGCAGGTTACTTTGCATGGGGTGTTTCAATCATACCAGCCTAGGGAAGATGTAGCTGGTGGGTATTAATTATTATTATATGTTGTCTTCCAGTGGTGGGTGTTGACATCTTACAATTAGTGTGGCTTATGGACATCTGTCCCCAAAACAAGTTTTGAGCTCACTTTTTTAAACTTAAGGCCACTTGTACAAATCAAGGGTCTGTATTAATAAAATTCTAAATTTTCTTAAGAATATTCTTAACTCGCTAACCGTTTCACTTGTGAGTGTTATAGTCGACAATGTATCATTTGTTCTACTGACAATATGGCTGCTGCAAGGCTGATTTTTTCCAAGATAGCACAACATGAATTAGCCCCTAACCTATGTCGGTGTTGAGAGTGAGTTGGGTTTAACGCTGCTTATAACAGTATTCCAGTTATATCATGGCGTGTCAGCATAATGTGGGCGGAAAGCCCGAAGTGATGCAGGTCTCAGACAACAAGCACGAGTACGGTGCTGATAAACCTAGAAAGATAATCAGGGCAAACCAGGATTCGAACCCACAATCATAGATTTCTGGCGTGCCCAAGGGACACAAATCTGCACAGTGAATCGAGACGACTGGGCCACCTGTGCCCCCTTGTCATGTAGACCCACTAAGATACCATGCTGCAGTCTTAACATGAATGCCCCACTCAAACACAGTACACTGCCAAGTGCTTGACCGACTTCCCAAACTGAAGTATGGACTCCATATGGACTACCAGCCAATATTGAATGAAGGCTGCCCTGTGCCAACCCCTTGAATGCCCGGGCCAGGCCACATAACCAAGTAGGTGAGCCGCTTTGAACAGTGTGCCAGCTTGATGTGGAGAATAGTTTCTGACAACTCTCCACAGGGAATTGCAGTGCCCAAAATGACTGAGCCCCAGTTCAAGCATGGGGTACGACACAGTTGAGCACAAACAGGTTTTGCGTTAATTATAAGCAAAAACCTTTTCAAGAGCCTTGCTTGAAGGGTAGAACAAAAACAAACATGATCTTTGCATTATTTTATGACGGACAAGACAATACAGGATACCAAGAGCAAGGCAGGTTGTTCAGGCAGAAGAGAATTGCACAGACAGCACTTTCCATACAAGCAAGTTTAAAATTTTCCACAAGTTATTTTCTACATACATTGGATCACATGTACAATAGATTGCCAGACCCCAGTTGTTGGGAGCTATTGACATTTCGAGTCTAACATTTGTAATTACATATTTACACAAGACCATTATCTATTTCTGGTGAACGTTGATACACTGAAGGGGTGCTCGTACTTTGACAGCCCCGGACTCCTGCTTGATGCCGACAGGCTTCTCCTTGACACCGACCGCTGGCTGGTCACTGGCCAGACATGGTCTAGGTGCTTGAGACAGTACGACAGGCTGGTCCTGGAACACAACAACATATAAGGCTCTGTCACAACATGAATAAGTGCTGGTGGAAATCAACGAAACACTAGCCGCCTACAAACCCAGGTCACATTTCAATCTTAGCATTAAAACTGACATAAGTCTGTTAAACAATGGGTGTTATGTAGCACTTAGATTGTTGTACTGCCCATCACTTTATGAAACAGGGCTGTCGGCTTTCATGAACGATATTAGAATCACTTTTTACAACGACGGTGAGTACTGGTAACTACACATTAACATTCCTGGCAATTTCTGACAATTAGACTTTCACCAAATCAAAGGCAAACTATATTATCCATTTTATGACACGGTGATCACATTCAAATACACAATAATCATATACTCATGAGTGAGGTATAACTTTATCTGATGGGCTGCTTATTAGTATACATGGAAGGATGTGAAAGTCAAATAAATATCTTGTTTGGGGTCATTCAAGGGCAGGTGTGACAAGTTGTCTTTTTTTCTATTTAAATAGATTCAAGGACCGAACAGCATTGAGAACATATTGCAACATTATCTCAACAGGAAAAGCTGAAGTAGGATTAGGTACCTTGCATCAAGGATATTGATAAACACATGGAAACATGACATGCATAATAGTCCCCGATTTCAAATGGGAAAACTTGGTGGAAATATGAGCTATGCATCTACAAAATGAGGTCGACCTATTTGTGTTTACCTGTGAGAGAGTTTTGCTGGGCAGTGTACTAAGATCAATCTTCCCTCCGGTCTCCAACTGCTGCAGTAGGCCCTGAAACACAATGTTGAATGTTCAAAGTCATGTTAAACTTGTTGTGGCCTTACTTTGAACATGTTTTTTTTTTTTTTTTTGGGTTGTTTAACACCGCACTCAGCAATATTCCAGCTATATGACAGCAGTCTGTAAATAATTGAGTCTGGACCAGACAATCCAGTGATTGACAAAAGGAGCATCAATCCATGCAATTGGGACCGATGACATGCATCAACCAGGTCAGCGAACCTGACCACCCTATCCCGTTAGTCGCCTTTTATGGCAAGCATGGGTTACTGAAGACCTATTCTACCCCGGATCACGGGTCACAGCATGATCTAGTAATCCTGTTATTTTACAGTTTTCAAATAAGTGGCTCTCAGAAAAGATCCTATTATATATTCTACTTGTGAGAGTTACATCTACAGCAAAACAGTTAATGCTATAATCAAACCTTATCTTTACTAAATGCTCTATTTCTGCATGCGATGATCACCATGAATATTATCATGGAGAGCTGTGTACCTGTGTCAGAGACTGTGCACTGCGGGGCGAGGCGTTGCTGATCTGCAGCAGGGCATCCTTCATCGCCTTGGTCAGGGCTAAGGGAGCTGTGTAACACAGAACAGTGGACACTGGTCAGCAACGACACCAAACTAGTAGGGGTGTCACGATACAGGTACTTTACGATACGATACATATCTCGATTTTGAGGTCAAGATACGATACGTATCTCGATACAGCAATACCAACCTTTTATGCGTAAATTTAGAAGCAAACTTAATTACATGTCACATTCACAATTATGTATTCTAATCACTATCAGTAGTTTATTTTGTAAAATAATGATACTTAGAAAAGGTTGATTCTGTTTATTCAAACAAGTGTCAGACACTAACAAGTTTTTGTATGTGTCAAATTCAGAAAATATGATGACATTTCGATTTGAAAAGAAAAATCAATCAATACGCGAACAAATGGATACCGATTTCAATAAAATTTTGTATTGATAGAAATTTACATGTATCTCGTTTTGTATCGTGAGAATTATCTACTGATGCATTGGTACAATTGGCGAACCGTGACATCCCTACTAACTACTGAACAAACTTGAAGAGAAATATTGTAAGTAAATATTGCTGCCACTGTTAGAACAATTCCGGCTATATCTTGGCTAGATTTAGATAAGTTAGTATGGGCCCGGCAAATCAATGCGGAATAGTATGAGCAATGTAACACATATTGTTAGGGTACGATGACACACAATCAGCTAACTATTTTGGCCATCCGAAACATTTTAGTTTTTAAAGGAAGCATGTGGTTCAGAACCCATTCTAAACCAAAATCACCACAGGGCTAACAGAATTATAAAAACAAGCTACTTGAAACTTGTGAATCGTCTAAGGTGCACAGACATTAAAATACATATAGCCTTGATTTCAGTGCTTTCTGTATCGTCAACACAAATCGTGACATTACCAGGGCTCTTTTCTTTGTCCTCCATCAAGTAAGGATGGGCCAGAAGCTCATCAGTGTTAGGTCTCGACTTGGGGTCTCTCGTCAAACATTTCTGAAACATATTTGAAAGTGAAACCGTTACAGGTCATTTCTTTGTATGAGTTTCACATTATGCAAGCAGGAGAAGCTATCACAAGCACTCAATGAGATATATATGGTGCACAGTGTATATATGGGATAATTGATGCATGCTTACAACCAAACTCTACCAGGATAGAAACAGAAGTCTGCCAATTTTCTAAACCATCATTCTGTGACAGAACAAGCTAGTCCTGAAAGTGAACGACCGGCATGAATCAGCTGCTTTGAGCAATATGTTTAAAAACATGTTTGTTTGCTTGGTGATTAACGCCACACTCAAAAATAATCAAGCTATATGATGGCAGTCTGAAATAATCTGGATCAGACAATCCTGTGATTGACATCATGAGCATCGATCTACACAATTGGGATATGATGACAAGCATCAACCAAGTCACCGAGCCTGGCCACCTGATCCCGTTAGTCGACTCTTACGACAAGCATGGGTTACTGAAGATCATTTCTAACCCAGATCAGGACAGGTTTATAAACATGGGAATATGTAGTCCCACTACTTGCAGGTGATGATCACTGAAATGATGAAGTTTCCTATCTCACACCTTTAGGACATCTAGGAGATTCTTGTTAGCTATGTCTTGGAAGTCTATCTTGTGTTGAGGGTTTGTGATGGCTTGTAGCTTGCCCAGCTGGTTGCGGATGTGTTGGAAGGGCGTCTTGCCGTACACCATGTTGTACAGGATACAGCCGAGCGACCAAATGTCGCTTCTAACACTAATCTGTAACACCAAACAAAACTCACTTTTTTCGAATATTTCAATCAAATGCTGAAAAAAAAGCAATCATAAATTGGTACAAGTCTCTCAAGTGTAAAAGTGTGAAACAAAATATTCCCAAAATCTACTGACTTTACAAAGCGGCTGCTGACGAATAAATAACTCACAGGATGTCTGTTTAATGTTGTCCGTGACAACCAATGATTATAAGGGAGATAACCAAACACCATTCTATGCATATTCAATCATTAATGCCCTGAATGTTCATAACAGGGGAGAGACAAAGCTGACTGCTTCAGTTAAACTTAATATCAGCTTCTTGCCTAAATACACTGGCAAATAACGCAAATAACGCAAATAATCTCACCTTATATGTCGGTTTAACCCTGTCACTGGCACTCCCACCGTCGGATCCTTCAAAGGATTCCATGATGGCTTCCGGACTCATATAGTTGAGAGTCCCCATGGGTGTGTTGAGGAAGATGCTGGTCTTGTCCTGCTGCACGGCATTGGCGATACCGAAGTCAATCAGTCGCAGGTTCCCCGCCACCATCATGAAGTTGGCTGGTTTCAGGTCAGAGTGGATCACACCTACACGATACATCTCAGCATTATACATCGTGGACAAGTAGCGTCTTGCAGTATTTCAGGTCACAGTGGATCACACCTACACAATACATCTCAGCATTATACATCGTGAGCGAGTAGTGCTTGGTATTTCATGGTGTCTCAGCCTAAAGCCCAAGGGGAAGCAGGTTATAGACTTTTACTGCTTGATGAAACCATCAACCGAGCACAAGTTTGTTGAATCATAATAAGGGGAATCTAGGATTAGACCACTGAGCAACCCATCCTCCCACATCCGACATGGGACATGTGAGTAGAGGCAAGGTAAGTTACAGAAAAAACATCAGTATTGACAGAACTAAACTTTCAATTTAAAAAAAAAGAAAACATTACCTTTTCCATTTTGTTTTCTGTCATGGGTTTCATAAATTCTAGAGGAGTTAGCTAGTTGTGTATTTCTTAAACAAATATACAACCAAGTCACAAGCCTGACCACACAATTCATTTGGTTGCCTCTTACGACCAGCATAGCTTGCTGGGAACTTATTCTAACCTGGAATTCCCTGGGTTACTATGAAAAGATGTTCCTTAGTACATTAAAAGAAACAGGTATCTGAATCATGTGAATCAGATTGTATGACGATAGAACCATGAATACATGAATCATATCTCTAGCAATCAGGGATGTGAGCAGGTTTTCCCGAAAAAAGAGGAAAAGTCTAGGGGGCATGCCCCCCCAGAAATTTTTAAAACATTTGATTGCATTTTAAGCAATTTCGTGCTGTTTGAACAACATTCACACCAAGAAATGTAATAAGTCAATAGCCAAAAAGTCAAATAAACAAGATGACAGATGCAGTAAAATTTCAAAGTTAAATCAGTACTTTTAAAAAATCGGGCATAGCTTACGCGCACCTGGCTACCCGCCAGGTCTGGGAGCAATACTGCCATAAACTTCAACCCCCATCCCCCAGACACAAGGACAACTGTCACAAGCGTGCAATTTCTGACCCTTTCCCCCACGTTGAAGCATATTGAAAAAAACTTACCTTGTACTTACCTTTTGATGAAAAGACAAAACTCCATTGCAAACATAAGACATAAATACAACATATATCCCAATGTTATGGGGTTTTGGACGCTGAAGAAACATTCATAAGTTTCTCGCTAATCACATGAACTGTAAAACATCTCATTCACTTACAGGCTAAAAGACAACTTTATCTTAAAAACAAGCCATCAGCTGACTCTGAGTATTTACAATTTCTGTGTGACGCCACACCCCACGTTATAGTGCAAGTATTCGTGATAGAAAACGTATGATGTCCGAAAACCTATGCTGGTGAAAGCTCTGATCGAAAACAGGACAATCCGCGACTGTTGTCCGGTTTTCGATCATATTTTTCAGAGTGTTTTTTTTTTTTTTTAAATTAAATTTTTACGCGGAAGATGATTTTTTCCGAGGACTACTTTTTTAAAAAACGCGATTTTCCGCGTTTCCGCGGAGATTTCACATCCCTGAGCAATATATATAGACTCAACAGAGATTCATTAAATCCACCCACGTTTCAGTAGTTTAGGTGAGTGAGTGAGTTGGGTTTAACCCCGCTTTTAACAGTATTTCAGTTATATCGCGGCGTGTCAGCTTGATGTGGGAGTAAAGCCAAAAGGGATGCAGGTCTCAGACGTTTACCACTTCGGTGAAACCCACGAGCACGGGTATGGTGCTGACAAATCTAGAAACATAATCAGGGCGAACCGGAATTCGAACCCACAATCATAGGTTTCTGGCGTGCCCAAGGGGCTCAACTCTGCACAGCGATTCGCGGCGCCTTAGACCCCCCAGTAGTTTAGGAAAAGAAGGTCCAACCTATGGTGAGAACTATGCAACTATGTAGGGTTGTACTGACCAGAGAACCAGGCATGATGTATATCTGTTGTATGATGCTTAGCTGACTACCATGAATCTGCAACATCACGTACCTTCTTTATGGAGTGCATGTACAGCTGTCAGCATCTCCTTCCAGTAGAAGTGGATCATGTGGGGTTCTATCCCCTCGCCACTCTGGATACGGCTCTTGAAGAGCGTGGCCATGTCGGTCTCTCCGAAGTCCATCAACACAAAAAGTTTGTTGAGCTCCTCATTGTGCTCGCTGCAATAAGCAAATATTCATAACTACAATTCCTATCTAAGGCTATTAGTTTTTTATTTGATGGATCAAGGATACGCCGACCCTATTTTCTTCAAAATTGGAATAAATAACAATCCAAATTTACACATATTTCTTCCCCGCCAACATGTCGTACCTGCAAAATTATTTTGCATAATATTTCACAAAATTGTTTAGTCGACAAGTTGTATCAAAATTCCCTGCATGATAAATCTAGATTCATGTCCCTTGTTTCTTCATACACAGACTTAACTCCCTTTGAGAAAAGACAAAGCTTCAAGCAGATGATGGCACCAAAGATGGCACATTCACCATTTAACTGGAGCATCGGTGCCAGACCTAATCATGTTAATCGACATGGCTTGTCAGCATTAAAAACAAGAGCCATCAGACAAATCCCCCCCCCAGAACCTATAATAGCAAAAGGCACCATTCCAGCCCCTGGTTGATACATATACCAAGATTGGAGGAAAAATCTTCAACGGTTTTAAGTTATACTCGGAAAAATGAAATACGGACGTAAATCTCAAACTATCAAAAGGCTTTGTGTGTTGTTTAATGCCGCACTCAGCAATATTCCAGCTATATGACGGTGATCTGTAAATCTGGATCAGACAATCCAGTGATTAAAATAACGAGTGCTGATCCACACAATTTGGATACGATGACATGCATCAACCATGTTACCGAGCCTGACCACCCGATTCCATTAGTCGTCTCTTACAACAAACATAGTTGCATCTTATGGCAAGCATGGGTTGCTGAAGACCTATTCTAACCTGGATCTTCACGGGTCTTACCAAAAGGCACTAGTTCACCACTAGACCTATCTATGTGCCAAGATAGGTGAAGAAATATTGTACGGTTTTCAAGATCGGCTCCAGAAACGACATCTTGCACGAACCAACGGACGGTGTCCATTGTAGTACTCCCCACAAAACATGTTGCGGGAGATACAAATGGCCTAATAGCAGCCACTATTTTTGTGCAAGTGAGTGGGAAGGAGAGAGCGTGTGGAGATAACATTCTTACTGAACTCGAGTCGAACCAAACACAAATGTTTTACTTACAAATCATACATCTTGATGACACTCTTGCAGTACTGAAGTTTCTTCAGAAGGCGCACCTCATTCTTGAAACCATTGACCACGACCTCATTGGCATCTTCCAGGTCAACACACTTCAAGGCCCTGGTGTTCTTCTGGGTGTCAAACACCTGGTACACCTGCAGACAGACAGAGCATCAGCATGTAGAACATTGTCACTTTGTTGTCATATAGTACACAGGGTAAAGGTGGAGACACAAAAATGGGCCATTGTAAATGTAATAATATATGAGAAAAGAAGCGAGTACAGCGTTCAACATAACAGCAATGAAGTCTTAATTTGTCATGACATTATGACTGGTCCCAAATACCAGCAGTAGTTTTACCCTCTCTCCCAATAAATACAAAAACCCTTGACAAATCAATGTTTGAAATATCACCCTGCACGGGGCCTCTTGAAATATTTCATATTGGAACATCTCAACAAAATATTGCTAAAAGCAGAAGAATGAGTGAGTGAGTGAGTTTGATTTTATGCCGCTTTTACAATATCCCCGCAATATCACGGCTGGAGACACCAGAAATTGGCTAAACACATTGTACCCATGTCAGGAATCAAACCCGGGTCTTCGGCATGACGAGCGAACACTTTAACCACTAGGCTACCCGACCGCCCCAAGAGTGAGTGAGTGAGTGAGTGAGTGGGTGGGTGGGTGGGTGGGTGAGTGGGTGAGTGGGTGAGTGAGTGAGTGAGTGAGTGAGTGAGTGAGTGAGTGAGTGAGTGAGTGAGTGAGTGAGTGAGTGAGTGAGTGAGTGGAGTCCTATGCTGCATCTAGGTGAGTTTTATGCCACTTCAAACAGTGAGTGAATATGGTTTTACACCGCTTTTAGCAATATTCCAGCAATATCACGGCGGGGGACACCAGAAATGGGCTTCACACATTGTACCCATGTCAGGAATCGAACCCGGATCTTCGGCGTGACGAGCGAACACTTTAACCACTAGGCTACCCGACCGCCCCACACTTCAAACAGTCAGGGATCTATCTAGACCTGCTCAGAGGCTCCATTTCGGCAGCAAATGTCAGTACAACTTCCTGATATCACTGATAACAGGACCAATAAAGAGGATTGAAAAGGCTTTGATGCTCCGTCTTTCATAGCTGCATTGAATGCATTGTTAAAATACCTCTAATTTGAGAAAAAGCAAATTTAAACAAAAATCCCAATTTTTCTGCAAAAGGCACTTAGTTTTGGATCCTCCCTGTAGGTTGTCATATGGCAACCACTTCAGTGAAACCGATGAATGAGTGTCATGCCAACAGGACAAGGATGATATCCTGTTATCACGCGTGGATTCAAACAGGTGATGAGCAGATCTAACCTTAGCTGAGGAACACAACTACCACACAGCGAAATGAGTTGTCACTGACGAGCAGCTGTATTAGGCAATATTGTACCTGTAAGACAGTGTATGACCAACTTCACAGCTCAAACTAATTCTCCCAGAGTCACACCATCAAACACTGTCACATCCTCAGTTATCAAGGGTATTATAGCTCCATAACTACCCTGGACCAATTCACCAACACAGCTTCAATTTGATTGGTTGCTGATCTCAAGTTCATAACAGAGTTCAACTTCTGTGCTCAGTGTATTAACAGTCATGGAGATGGTGATGTCCCCTCTGAAATGAAGCTATTCTATACTGGAAAGTCGATGTAGATATCGTATCATCGAATGTGTCATGATGGCCACACTGACACATTGAACACTAACTGACAACAAGCATGGGAGGCCTGCTCTCGTTTCCCCTACCACACTGGCAAAACTCCTCTCATCAGTGAGTGATATTACTTGCAGATAATACATGTACCGTATTCAAAGTAATAAGCGCCCAGGGAGCTCTCAAAATTAGAAATAGGGGGCAGAAATAGAATATTATTTGGTGAAAAAAACAGATTTGAATGATAAATTTTGTGGTTTATGCCGACAGTCTGAAAAAGCTGTAAGACAGATATATGTTTCCAGAATTTAATTGCCAATAATAAAGGTAGCATATAACACACGAGTGCGTATTATACGCAAATAGGGGAAGGAAGCGATGCTTATTATATGCGAATAGGGGTCAGAAGGGGTGCTAATTGGGATTGTTCACTAGCAAATCTCGCCGTGGGCGCTTATTAGAGCGGGGCGCTTATTACGTCGAATATGGTAATAATAGTCACTTGACATACCTTAAGTTTCCTTACCCTATTTCCTTTAAACTGAAATTTGGAAAACAATGGCTGAAGGTTTCCATTCACATATATACAGTAACCATGGTAACCCATGAGAATACGTATCAACAGTTTTACAAATCGCAGGCACAGTAATGTAGTTACCTTTGCTGAGCCCCCTCGTCCGACCAGCTTCCAGATGAAGTACTGCTGACCGTTGACTGTCACAGTATCCACAGGGCTCTGCAAGGAAGAACAGCCTGATTAATGGCATGTCTCATCATTCCCACAATGTGGGCATCGGAACCTAGTTGGCATGTGCAGCCAAGTAAGGCATTATTGCACTTATATAGCGACGTGCATGTACGTGTGTGTGTTTGTGTTGCTGCTTGTACTAGTCCGGACTGATGCCGATTTATAGTGCTAGCTCACTGAGAAACCATGCCTCAGTTTAACATGAATACCCCACTCAGACACAGTGTACTGACTCCGAGCCGACCAGTCCTTGTTTTAGCCCCTTAATGCCGAGCGCCAGACAGGGTTACAACAAGTACCATCTTTTAACGTCTTTTGGCATGACATGGTCGGGGATCGAACCCCGGACCTTCCCCTCTTTCCGGGCGGACACTCTACCACTAGACCACGGAGGCGGTCCAGAAGCCTGTGAATAATCTGGACCAGGAAAAACAATGGCTGACCATTGATGACTGTGTGAACAATGTTACACATCCGGCACAATCAGCTAGGTCAAATATTGTGACCATCCTATTCTCATGAGCCAGCTCTTGCCATGCTGAAGGGGAGTGAGTAAGTGAGTGAGTTGGGTTTAACGCCACTTTTAACAGTATTCCAGTTATATCGCGGTGTGTCAGCTTAATGTGGGAGGAAAGCCCGAAGTGATGCAGGTCTCAGACGTTTACCACTTCGGTGAAAACCCACGAGCACGGGTATGGTGCTGACAAACCTAGAACCATCATCAGGTCGACCCGGGATTCAAACCCACAATCATAGGTTTCTGAAGTGCCCACAGGATGCGACTTTGACGACTGGGCCATCCGTGCCCCCTGCTAAAAGGGAACCACTCGTACCCATTCTGAACCAGAATCCCTACAGTGGCAACAGGTAGAGCACCCACAAGACTGTGTATGCCTCACCATGCTTGGAGTCAGTGATGCCATCTCGCCCAGTCGGTTCTTCATGCAGGGTGTGGACATCTTCGTCACAGCAGCAACACTACAGAGGGCAGATGAAACACATTAGTACACAGCTGTCAACACAAGCTCCAATGCCAAATTCAAATTGATGGCAAAAAAGACGGAAATGTTTTGACATGACAATGCATATTTACACTGAACTAATTCTTATGCTAAATCCTAATCCTAAAGTTCTGATTTCATATTCGTGGGTCCAGGCCCCATGATCCTATGAAACTATAATCAGTTATCTAAACACTATCAAAGTAAACTGTAAGCATCAGGAGTATCATATTTATCATCCAAAACTGGCTCACAGGAGATATTACTTGGGTGAGATCAAGCGATATCTACATTGTAGATATTGCTGCAATGAAATTGCATCACAATGCTTTGCAGACCATTGTGACATCATTGATTAACATGACGTCACAATCAAATGACATCACTAATGGCTCTGCTCCTGAAGCTGTTAGCAGTACTTTTTACACTTAGACACTGCTTATTACTGTCTACAAATTGAAAAAGTTGGAAGAATGATGTCGGAAGATATAAAAGATATAAATAAAATATCACCCTCGTGTCTTGTAACACGAGTTGATATATTTGATATCAAAAGACACGAGGGTGAGATTGTCCATATAACTCACCCCACAGGAGGCTGAGTGGGAATGTTGGGGGTAGGTAGGGAGGGTGGCTGAATACTTGGCGCTTGGGGCTCCTTCACAGACGAATCTGTTTGCTGTGCAGCACACTTAGAATCACTGTCTTTTCTCTCAGTCCTTTTCTTATCACATTCTCGGTCGCTGGCGGACTCAGCGCACTCAGGCGGGGCAAGACGTTTCTTACATTCAACACTAGACATGGCGAGCTTCGGCTTCTCTACTATACTCAAGTCCATGAAGCTCGCCGGCGCCACCTGGCTTCCGGGTTTGTCTTTGATGTTATGGTGAGTGGAGGATGCCAGTGGGGTCCTGTATTTCATTGGTTCCTTGAAGTCACATGATTGAGCAGCCTTCCCATCTGTTTCCATGGGAACTGTCACATCACTCTGTGACATTGACAGGTAACCTGAAGTGTGGGCATGGGAGCCAAATGTCTCTGAAATAGACAGCATTTGTTTCAATGTCAAAGTCATGACCGTTTTTAACCATGGTAACATCGTTGCTCAGTGTAAACAATCATTACAGAAAACAGGTTTAATATTCCACTGTAATAACGTTCCGATGTTTGCATGACAATCATTTATGACCATGTCTGATACATTTTACTTATTAATGCAATGACAACAACAAATATATTAAACCTGATGCTTAAACATTCAACAAACATTATGTTATTTCCTTTCTGAATTGGATTGCATCTATTTCACTACATACCATTCTCCTGTGGATGTGAGGGAAGAGGCTTGATACTGTCAATATTTTTCTCTTCCTCCAGATCAATATCATCTTCCTTCTTGCTGAATGGTAGACTCATCTTCTTCACTCTCATCGGAAGCCCAATTTTCGATGTTCCAAGTGGCCTGTTCAAATATATACAAATGTTTATGGTGCCTGGAATGGTTCACTATGAAGGATGAAGAAGAGGAGAGGCAAGAGGACAAATAAGAGGAAGTGGGAGGGTAGGAGGAAGTGGGAGGGTAGGAGGAAGTGGGAGGGTAGGAGGAAGTGGGAGGGTAGGAGGAAGTGAGAGGTAGGAGGAAGTGGTGGATGAGAAGAGGAGTAAAAAAGAGGAGGGCAAGAGGATAAAGAGGAAGTGGGAGATAGGAGTGAGTGAGTTAAGATTTAACGTCACATTGGCAGTATTTCAGCCAGATCGTGACGAGGTGGGAGATAGGAGGAAGTGGTGGATGAGAAGAGGAGTAGAAGAAAGAGGAGGGCAAGAGGATAAAGAGGAAGTTGGAGGGTAGGAGGAGGTGGATGTGGTCGAGTAGGGGAAGAGGAGGAATACCACAGACAAGTATGGCTGCCACAACTAGCAGGGCTTCAATGACAAAATGGAAACAAGTATTTGTCACAGAAGTGACGAAATGTCCGCCGCCTGTATATACACCAAAATACCAAATATGAAGACAATCCAGCGATTAGTTCTTGAGATATCGCGGCAACACCGTTTTCCAACTCCAAAAGCAGATTTGCCTGCTGTGACCTTGAAAATAGGGTCAAGGTCACCAAAACCGACTGGTGTCTGCGGTGTCTGTATATACACCATAGTTCCAAATATTAAGACAATCCTGCGATTAGTTCTTGAGATATCGCGGCAACACCGTTTTCCAACTCCAAAAGCAGATTTACCTGCTGTGACCTTGAAAATGGGGTCAAGGTCACCAAAACCGACTGGTGTCTGCGGAGTCTGTATATACACCATAGTTCCAAATATGAAAACAATCCAGTGTTTAGTTCTTGAGATATCGCGGCAACACCGTTTTCCAACTCCAAAAGCAGATTTGCCTGCTGTGACCTTGAAAATGGTGTCAAGGTCACCAAAACCGACTGGTGTCTGCGGTGTCTGTATATACACCATAGTTCCAAACATGAAGACAATCCTGCGATTAGTTCTTGAGATATCGCGGCAACACCGTTTTCCAACTCCAAAAGCAGATTTACCTGATGTGACCTTGAAAATGGGCTCAAGGTCACCAAAACCGACTGGTGTCTGCGGAGTCCGTATATACACCCTAGTACCAAATATGAAGACAATCCAGAGATTAGTTCTTGAGATATCGCGGCAACACCGTTTTCCAACTCCAAAAGCAGATATGCCTGCTGTGACCTTGAAAATGGGGTCAAGGTCACCAAAACCGACTGGTGTCTGCGGAGTCTCTATATACACCATAGTTCCAAATATGAAGACAATCCAGTGTTTAGTTCTTGAGATATCATGGCAACAAACAGGTGGGACGTACGTACGGACGGACGGACGGACGGACGGGCGGTCGTGAATACTATATCCCCCGCTTCGCGCTTTCGCGCGGCGGGGGATAAAAAAGCTTACCTCTTCCAGTTAGGGACAGAATCAGATGTCTTGGTCATCTGGCGACACTCTGGCGTACTCAGACAGTGCCGGAGCGGTCCCTTGCTGGCACTCTGTATGACTGACTTAAGGTGGGACAGGCTGGCTGCATCAGTTGTCAAGTTACCATTCAGAGTGTCGTCACCCGTAACGCATGATGTGGTGTGCGATCTGTTTACAAATAGAATTGCATTTTAAGTCAAAGCAAATATTTCCAGATGATAATGGGAAAACAAGACAAATGGTTACATCAGTATATAGATCACTATTTTCAGTTGTTTGCCAAAGTTACATGTGGCTGCTAATGAGGTTAAGGTGTCCCATGGAGGAGACATAAGCTTGTTGAATTCAGTTGGTTGTTTTACTCCGGACTCAGCAATATTCCAGCTATATGACGGCAGTCTGTAAATAATTGAGTCTGGACCAGACAATCCAGTTACTGATATCATGAGCATCGATCCACGCAACTGGGATCGATGACATGCTTCAACCAAGTCAGTGAGTCTGACCACCCGATCCCGTTAGTCGCCTTTGACGGCAAGCATGGGTTGCTGAATTAAGATTGTTTTAAGTTTAAGTCTTTGCTTATTGTGATAACCAATCAGGTTACACAGTGTGTGAAATATTCAACACTCGACATGAGCAATAACTGAATCCATCATGGCATGATGAAGCACAATCAGCCACACCTTAGGGGTTCCCTAGTTTCCAAAAGAAAACTGAAAAACCACAGGGTTAATTCTTCTGCCTTGACATTCTCTACTAGAAAGATCACACAGGAAGGGAAAGCCCTGACTAAGCAGAAATACACTGAAAGAGAGAATGGGGATCACAGCTATTTCACAGTGGCCTGTGGTTTAATGTGGCCTTCGTGTTCAACAAGTCACACAAGTTGATCATACAAATTATCCATGACTGCAGTCAGTGAGTCCATTTGAGGTCATGGTGACACAGAAACGGTCATCAGAGACATCCAATCTCCATCTTTGTTATGCCTTCACAAATAGTAGCTCTGAGGGAAATCTCAAATGATGGCAGGTATAAGAACTGAGAAGGTATTCAGGTATACTAGAAGGTATACTCACTGCGCTGACTCTTCAGGTGGGGTCACTTTGGCTGGCATCACCTCATCTGTAGCTTCCTTACTGATAGCACTGCTCCCCACACTGCAGTGTCTTTTACTCTCAGCTGGAATTACAGAGAAGGACAGGTTCCTCAATTTTTATAGGAGTTGGCAAATACCACACATATTCTTTATTCTTGTCTTGTCACATCCGAACTATGTCAGCAGGGATAATTCTAGGGTGAGGCCTTGTGATTTTACCCCTAAATTTGAAAAAAGGCCCACATTTTCAAATACAATGGGGCATTTTAACATTGTGCTGTATGGGCAAGTGTGGGTGTACCTCTGGAATATTTGAAATTTTCACATAAAGGGCCCATGTCAGAAAATTCCTCGAGTGAACCCTGGTCATGCAGTACCAAAACAAATATCAAGGAAGGCCAAGTAACAGAAATACACTCCTTTACCTATTTACATCACAAACCTTCCGCCATTCGGTAAGATCTACTCATCTTAATCAGTGTTCAACCTAAGGTTGTCCTGGATCTTCTCTAAGGGTACTGGAATGTATTGGGAACCCCAAAATTTGTAACCTTTAACATTAGAGTATGAGTAGGACCCCTTGACATTCATGCTCAATTATGAACACTGATGATAAACAACTACCAAGCAATTTGGTTTTGTCCCATCTGTAAGACCAGTGCTAGGTTGTAAACCAGCAAGGGTTAAGGCTGAAAAGCCTAATACGCCAATTGATGCAAAAAAGTAACACTTAGCCATTTCCCGTAACATTTTATCTTTCATTTTCTCCCTTGATCATAATCATAATCACAGGCCTTGATCACCACCTGATTTTCCCTACAACAATAACAGACTCATTTTTCAAGTGCCACGATTGCGAGATAGTTTGCAATTTCTAAGTCTGTAGGTTTCTTTAATTGAAACTTAATTAAATTAATTAATTAAACTGCACTGAAATGACTACATTTAAACTGCTATGCATGGTGAGGCAGTCACCTGGCACAGCACTCTCCGTGGACGTGAGTCTGGTCTTCCCGTTCTCTAAGTTCCGCAGAGCCTCTCTCACTAACTCCTTCGGTTCAGCTTCTATAAGCCGTGCCTTCTCCAGAATCTTCTTGGCTTTTGACACATTACCTGAAAACACACCAGACATAAGCTGTGGAACTCATGATGATTGTGATCTATGTCTTGAGTGAGTGAGTGAGTGAGTATGATTTCATGCCGTTTTTAGCAATATTCCAGCAACATCACGGCAGGGGACACCAGAAATGGGCTTCACACATTGAACCTGTGTCGGGAATCGAACCTGGGTCTTCAGGCATGACGAGCGAACGCTTTAACCACTAGGCTACCCGACCGCCCCATCTTGAAATGTGTCACATGACAATAAAATAAGCCCCACTATTTCCTTCAGTTTAACATGTTGAAAACAAAAACAATTTTTATTCTATTACCATATTCTGGTACATTGAGTGACTGAGTGTCCTTGGCTCACCTTGTCTGACTTCAAACTCGGCCGCTGCAGTATGTACAATGGAGAATCTGCGCACAATTGACCTGGCATATGTCAGCAACGCTTCAGCCTCGTCGGGGCTGTACTCACTGAAAACCAACAATAAAGTCACAAACTGCATATCGGCAAACCAGAAGACATGAAACAGAAAGCTTTTGTTTTTGCTTCAGCAAAACTTACCACCTCAATATTTTCACCCTAAAAACTTCAAAGCATGGATAGCCTGCTTGCAATAGTACTTAACATGCTTAAACGTCATTACCTAAGAACATTTCTTTCTTTTTTTCATAGTCTCAAAAACCATTGCAAAAGGAGATTTCCCCTTAGCTTTATAGACTTACCTCTTGACTTGGGCATAATCTAAAAATAATTTGGCATAGGTCTCATTTCTCTTGTTATCTGCAGACGATATGGCCTGCAATGGAGAAAAAGAAATTTCATATGAATACGACAAAAAGCAAAAATGGACCCATACGAGATTAATTCTGATCAACACATAATGGTGCAACAAATAATGAGTGAGTGAGTGAGTGAGTGAGTGAGTGAGTGAGTGAGTGAGTGAGTGAGTGAGTGAGTGAGTGAGTGAGTGAGTGAGTGAGGGTATGGTTTTATGCCGCCTTTAGCAATATTCCAGCAACATCCGGCAGGGGACATCAGAAATGGGATTCATGCATTGTACCCATGTCGGGAATCGAACCTGGGTCATTGGCGTGATGAGCAGCTGATGAGTGAACGCTTTAACCACTAGGCTACCCGACCGAGCAGCACCAAATCATGACATACACAAGATGCACAAGCAGTGGTCACAAAACCTAATTGTCTGTTTGCCCAAGATTAGTGAAAAGCTAGTCGGACAAGTACTTTTTCCCAAAAATCTAGTTATTGTACATAACCACTAGTCCGAAATGAGCAGTGGACTAGTTGGTGTCTTCCCCTGCAAACTCACAGCGAAGACCACATACAATCAATAAACATGATATAAAAATTCAGTTACTTCAACATGTTCAATTAGGTCTGGACTTCAAAATTTAGTGTAAACACTTTTCTAGTGAAAGCCTTTTAAGTGAGAGCTGATGGGATTTAACCATGTTAACATTCAAGATTTTGTTGTTCACCTTCACCATATGCCCATCAATGACCTTGAACTACCAAATGCTGATGCAGTAAGGAGATGACTAATATCATCTTAAATTACCATTTCATTTCTTTTACTATGGTTACCTTAAAGGCCCTATCATACAGACAGGACAGCAAATTGTGTCTTGCAACAGCATCCTTGGTTCCGACTTGTGACTTCACTAGATTGATATAGTCATACCAATCCCCAGGCTTGTTGCCAGCATCTCCTATTCGGTTGATCCAGCTAGTGTGATCTGAAACTCGAGTACCAAACGTTATTCCATCAATTATCAAGATTATCCCAGGTATACATTTTGACCGACTTACAGGCAGATATGAGCATGATGAGGCAGTAAACGACAGTAAAAATCCCGATTTTGAATTATAAATTCCCCAATTACTCAGAATTTATGAAAATAAGAACATGAAAACAATAATCCAATTTGGAACAACATCACAATTTTTTCCAAATTTGCCTGTCAAACACACTTAGTTTGGAATCTGAGATACATCCCTGTATCCACAGACAGGATGATGGATTCCTATTTTCAAAGGCAGAGGTGCCAACCCAAATCTGAGGCACTTAGGAATATCTGTGATAATCATAATTGGGATTCCAACTTTGTAATTTGTATTTCAAAAATAATAAAATAAGTTACATGATCTCATGGTGCTATTGATACTGAACTATCATCCAAAAGTCGAAAACTTGCATCTCAATTTGATGTTCTACAACAGCAGAATAACAGAGAGTGAAAGAATATGCTTTTGTGCTGCCTTGGGACACCAGATGGTGTTTTTTTTTGCTTAATGCCACACTCAGCAATATTCCAGCTATATGACGTCAGTCTGTAAATAATCGAGTCTGGACCAGACAATCCATTGATTGATATCACGACCATTGATTCACCAAACTGGGATACAATGACATGCATCAACCAAGTCAGCAAGCCTGACCACCCGATCACCTTAGTTGCCTCTTACAAGCATATTCTCCTTTTAAAGCAAGTATGGGTTGCTGAAGACCTATTCTTACCAGGACCAGGGTACCCCAGAAATGGGCTTCACACATTTGACACATATGGGGAATCAAACCCAGGCCTTCAGCATGACAAACAAATGCTTTAACAAATAGGCCACCCTACCAACTTCAGAATAGCAGGGAAAGGATGTAATGAAAAAGCCAACGGTAATCTACAATTGCCATGGTAATTCAAACAAGCAATTACTGAAATAATCATGATATTATCGTGGGTCATGTGCATCAACCTAACAAACAAGATAGAGCACTTTAAGACAGCTTTAAAACATGAAGAACACACCGGGTAAAACATTTGTTACACACCTGTTATAGTAATACTGTCTGTGTCATTTTTCTCAGTTTTCACTTGACATGAAGCAGTGTGGGACTTTAGTTTGTCAAACTGTGACTTGAAGGCAGTCCAGCTACTCATGGTTTAGCCTGCAAAACAACAACATAAAACGCATTCAGCATGTTCAGTCATCATGATCATTATGTAAATTTGCAGGGATTGAAATTGAAACTAGTAACACACTCCTGTTTACATTAACAATGTTAATGATATCCCATGGGTTGGTAGAACTATGAACATTTTGGGGGGTGTTCCAATCTCATTAACAAATGATTAAAATCAGATCTTAGCTAAACAAAGATCTGAGGACATCCCATTACTGGTCACGTCAGAATGACCTTTCATCTGACCAATCAAAGCGCCGCTTACCAGATCATTAAGGTGACAGTCGGAATGTGTTTTCTAATCATGCAACCTCAAAAACGTTAACATTGGGTATTCCAAACGACAGTTTACGGCCCATACGACTGATTCCGTCAAAATTATAGTCTATTTCTCGCTTCCGTGGGATAAACATTTGAACAGAGGTGGCGTTGCACAGTACATGGGAAGCACTGCCATACAATTGCAACCATATATTAGACATTCCCGGAATGTTCGTTTGTTCAGTTTTCAAAATGTAAATACCGGTAGAGAACTGTGTCATCATATTTTTCAAGCGTAGTCTGAAATAGAAGTTGCCAGGTTGAAACGAGTGCCGTAAAGCTCGAGAAAGCTGATTTCTAATTGGCTGATGTCGACTTCTTGTTAGTCATTTCAGTGGTCAGTCAAAGTTCACGAAAGGTCGTTCTGACGTGACCCGTAATTGGATGTCCTCAGATCTTTGTCTAGCGGCAGCGAGAACTTATTTTAATGAGATTGGTGTGTGTTCCTATGAGTGATTAATATTTAGGCAAGTGGACCTTTTGTGTTCATTTCTATCCCTGTAGTACAATCAACACATACCATACATCATAATACATACAGATTATTACTAGTCAGACACCATTTATCTTACCATGCTTACAGCTAAAGCGAGTTAGATATATTTGGAAACGAGTTGTATATATCAGGCATGAGTGTGCACAGTAATCTGTTTAAGCTTACACGCCCTGGAACCACATTATTTTAGCATGAAATCGATACATATTGTGCCTATTCTTATCTTAGTGATACATTAACAGATTATTACATAACACAATGGTTATGGTATGGGGCGTCATCCGGCTAACTGCTCATACTCAGTGTGATCCTCTTCAATAAAAGGTTTCCGTCATATCCTGTAGATTTCTTTCCTATGTTATGTTTCAAATGATCGCTACTTTATGAACATGAAGAAGCAGAAAGCTGTCATTAGGATTCTTCCACTACAGTCTTGTCTTAACATTTGTTTTCCATGTCATTGGTAAAATCTTCATAGACTATGTAGCAGGATATGGTGACATCTAGGGCTGGGACGAGTCCAAATTTACTACACGGGTACCCATTTGACCATACTCCTGTCAACATGTATTTAGAAACCAATCTTGTCAAGCATACACTGAAGTTGACTGAAGTTATATCTTTATGCAAACATATTAAGTCAGAAAGAATGGGTGTATAGTCAGAAAGAAATCTGAACATTAGCATGATTAGTGACTTGTAGTGTTGCCATTAACATGATTAAACAATATATCACGTGCTAACCACAGGTGCAAGTAAACCTGTGGTTACCCAGGTCCTACTCAGTACCCACCTGACCCGAGTACACAAGTTACCTGTCCAAGCCCTAGTGTCATCCCACGGATGACATCCTTACTAGGGGTGACTATTGGTCTGGAAATCACTATTGAAATAACTATTGATATTGAAAGAAACTATTGCGATAACTATTGATATTGCAAGCAACTATTGCGATAAATATTGATAGTTTTCAGTGTATCATTTTAGAAAGATTTTAGAGAAAGATTTGAATGTGATAACCATAACAACAAATAAAAAGTAAAGTTTGATATATGACGGATTTGTTTTTTCTTTACCCTTATAATGTAAGAAAATGAAACTTCCACATTACCATGTGTAAATTACTACCACTCATAATCAAAAGAAAAATAAATTTGAACAGCATTTGATTCAATCGCATGATATGGTAAATACAATTGAAACTATCGATATTCCTAACTGAAATCGATACTATTGATCGGAAACTGATTTAACAATCGATGTATTGACTTTAAGTGCTTACCAATAGCAATATATCGATATTCCTATTTATCGTGACACCCCTAATCCTTACCCAACCTCTTTGGTAATGTGACCAGAAGGTCTGTTGTTCGAATCCCATCATGGGACTCGGCAATTTTCGTTCATTTTCAATTTGAGCCACAGAAGTCTCAGTGCCCTACTATGCGACCCGGGACGTGCCTTCTGTTGACAGGGAAGTATGTAGCAGATGACAGATACCATAGATGACATCCAGATCTTGTCAGCTTGCTGACGGGGTTAATTTCTTTCATCATGCCTTTGTTCATGTGGACAAGGTTACCCCTAAACTCTATCCTCAGCACTTGGATCCCCTTTCCAATTAAGCACCCCTCTAGGATTATGTACCTGTTTAGATCAAACACCCCTTAAAGATCCTTAGGGTTGGGCAGCATGCCAATCAAACGCCCCTTTACCATGTTTACGTTCCTTCGGGTTATCATTAGGTACCCCTTTGCGATCCCAAGAGTTAGTTGTAAGTTATGGAATGGGTAAGCTACCATACCTCTATTTTTGAACTAATCCAATTTAATTTGAGTAACCAAATACTGCAGTCTAAGTTACTCTAACCTTGAGAGAAATCTCTACAATTTATTCAGGTTTTGAATTACACAGAGGAAAATAGCTACTGTGCATACACATCAAGTTAAACATGTTAAACATGTTAAATATTAGATATTAACATGATTAACACATTAAATGATTAGCCTAGTTTAGCTTCATGCTGACAATGTGAGTTTGATCCTCAGTACACTGCTAATTGACATCTGAAAAAGCAGGGTTTGACAAATTAACTTGTCTACTAGCAACTAGTGTGAAGCCAGTAATGTTTAGGAAGGACAGGTGACATTCTCCTTGTGTACCATCAGTAATAGGTAGATGGTAACTCTGTAGCATATCTAGCCTTGATCCAAGGCTGTACAGCATGATAAGTCCATGGGTGCAGGTTTACAAATTAACACTAGGGGAGTAGTGCACTTTACCGGGCGCACTTTTTAAGATCCAATTAGCGCTGTGGGGGCTCAAACGCGCTTTGCCGGCTCACCGGCTCTGCTAATTAATGCGTTAATTAGCCGACGCTCTACCACTGGACCACAGGCGCTATCACATGTAATCAGTGCTCATTTAACGGGTCATTAGAATCCTCATTGACATGCATGCATAATTCAGTAAACGATGAATTGTGCATGCGTGTGACGTCACGGTCCGCTCTCCCATTCATCTTTTCTTGAAACCACACCCGCAATTGTTTATGTCAGCATGACCGACCAATGGGATTAACCAGATTAACGCTTGAAAAGGTAAGAATTTATGGCTAACCCTTGCCCAAAGCAAGCTAACCCTAATGACCGAAAAGGGGTTTTGGATCGTAAAGACGTGTAAGTTTCCCTAAGACCGAAAACGGGTGTTGGATCGTAAAGACGTGTAAGTTTCCCTAAGACCGAAAAACGGGTGTTGGATCGTAAAGACGTGTAAGTTTCCCTAAGACCGAGAACGAGTGTTTGATCGTAAAGATGTGTAAGTTTCCTTAAGACCGAGAACGGTTGTTTGATTGTAAAGATGTGTGAGTTTCCCTAAGACCGAAAACGGGTGTTGGATCGTGAAGCGAGAGTCACCAGAGCTAGAGGCACGGTAACGGTTTAACGAGACAGTGGTGGCACTATAGCGCGGTAATTGAGCGGATGGTAGAGCTTGGGCTGCGCCCGGTAACTGCATTGTTGCCAACACTAGCCCTGCTAACCTGGGGCTAGTACAAACTCCTGCAGCCTCGTACAAATTTCCCATTGCCCCGTTTGTTTTGAACATTTTATCTTTACTAGATCTCTAGGTCTAGCAACCCTGAGGTGATTAGTAAAATTTCTATCCTTAATATCGGCAAGTCCAGATAAATACAACCTTGTGAAATCCAGAGCTTTACCCTGTTTACTGATGCTTCTGTATGGATGGTATTGATATGGCTATCTTTAGTGCCTCCACAACATTGTGAGCAATTGACAGTTTTGACAGGACAGACAGACACACGACATGTTGATACCAATAAATGTATCAACATGGGGGTCTCCTGGCAAATCTGGATTTCACAAGTCTTTAAGGAGACCAGTCTCTTCAATATAGGGACAGCATGTTCATATTATTTATATAATATAGAAATTATGATTTAAACTAATAACTTGTGCAAATCAGGCCTGCACTTCTTGGCCTATTGCATATAATTCTTGTGGACTAGTGCAGAAATGTATTAATTACCAACCCTGAAAAGTGTGGCCAGCAAAGTGCAGGATTCACATTTACCTGTCAGAAGACCAAATATTGCGATGCATTTAATTAAAACTGCAAAACATGCACGAGTCGATATTCCTTTTTCACTGCTCATGATTAGCCTAGGTCAGAAAAAAACCTGAATCGTGACTGACTGTGATTTTACGGCGGATGGATTCTACATGTCATAAGCATTTAATATCTTCTGTAAATGTTTCAGCAGGGGTCAGTGAGGTTGCATTGATTTGTTAAACATTGAAACAAAATACAATAGGCGACATCCTATGTGTCTAGACAGCTGGTACAAATGAGCAGGACAAGTTGGGGATGGGATCGGGAACTCAGATGAAGCCCATTAGCTACTTAGACTAACTTGCAAATAATAGCCACATTCAACAGTACATTAAAATGTGTTTTACTTACAATGATTGTTACATTTCCATCAAGAGTAATTCCATATATTCACTTTGTAAGGTTCATTATTTAAACCTTAACATAAATATGCCGAGACAATGTTTTGAAAATACTTCTTTAAAATGGCCGCTTCTCATCAAATATGTTAGAATCAATTTGATTGGTCTACTATGAGCTCATCCCCAAACAGCGATTGGACGAGCCTCCTTAGCTCCGTGCACAGACATCGCGAGTTCTAACAAATACATTTAATGGAGTTCGGCAATGTTGTAAGTATTTCCCTTTCCTCAGTTATTTCTATTTCCTGGAATTCCCGTGTAGATTACCGAGGTTGCGTGAAATAAACGTTATCAACGAAGTAAAGGACCCTCAAACCACCGGAGGATCTTCTCTGATTTTACATTTTACAGGCACTGCCCAATGCACAGATTTCAGGTACTGTCATTCCAATTTAATATCATTTAACGACCATGATTGCCGCACGTTTGGCAATGTTAGGCCAGTTCTAAACGGACTTGAGAACAATCACATGTCTGACGTTCACTAAGTCCATGTTTGTCAACTTGGTGACTCATGGACACCTAAAATTATGTTTGATATTGGGCCATTTTGTTTTGAGGAATGTGAATAATAATGTCATAGTCAGTTCGTTATCACTATCCATATCCAGGAATATAAATGTGTAAACTAAGATAATGGTAATCAACTTCAAGGAAGCAAGTAATTAACATGCACCATGCCTTTGCCATGTACCAAGATGATAGATTACAAACAGGCTCACTAGTTCAGGGCTAGATCGCATATGGTGATAAATATATCGGGTAAACAAATGTGATGTGGCAAAGAAAAGATTGGCATTTGATCCTTGACTTTATTACAAAAAGTATAACATTCATTTTGGAGAGTATGGGGAAAGATACACACGTCAAGGAACAGCTATACTCTTTTTGATAGACCTATGAAGAATACACAGATGTTTCTGTAATCATCATGGTCACAGACGCATAGAATTTTGTTTCGTGATTCAAGACACAAGGGATTATTCTTTAATTAAGTCTGCTGCCATACTCAGAACCCTGTGGTACCGCAGCATTCATGGTGTCGCTGCATTTGTGACTTCCGGTAGTTCACGCGGGACACGCCTCTTAGCAGCTGTCTATCAATACAAATCAGTAACCAGGAAATGCTCGCTTCGTAAACAATTTCCATCTCCTCGGAATGTTCCGTCTGCTGTAAGTAAGGAGTTATAGTAACGAGTTGATACTTACTTCTGGCATCTTTTTATTATTGTCTGACCCCTATCTATCAATGGACAACGATTTAACCCGCAGTTTCCCAAGAAAACTTTCTCTGTCGACCTGAACTATATCATTTACATGTTCATGGCGTCTAGAAAGGTAACGGAAGTTACGTAGTCCTCACATTTGTTTCCCACTCTGTCGCCAGAATTTATTAGGAGATCATAAGGGTCATAATGCCATACTTAGAAATACGTTCTTCACCAGTAGCCAAATGACAAATACATACTTTTGTCACACTAGGGGTGCATTGTATATATATATTGTTAATTTTTAAACAAAATTCTTAAAAAATTTCTGATATTTTGTTGTTGATTTTTAAATATACATGTATTTTGTTCTTACTTTTCGGTAAATATGCATTGAATACCTATTACAATAACACATTCAGAAGTTTACTTGTGCTGTCTTTGCACTTGCCTGGACAAATCACTGAAGCCTGACTTCATCATACTTAGTGGTTGGTAGAATTATGTCCTGTTTTTGTCCAATTCGGACTTCCATACACAACTTTTCCCTGTACCGCGATATGATGGAGCTATCTCCTTGTCCCAGCTTTTACTCGGCGCTACTAATGAAAATAATGAACTTTCATCAGTTAAATATGCATATTTAGATAAAATAAATGACATCTGATACAGAGAACACAAATAATCATAACTGTTACTGAGTGCATTTGGTTCCGTTTGGCGTACATAACAAGTACCACGATTCCTCGAGGTTGCAGGCTACATGGAATACAGTTCGAATTGGCATTAAACCCAACTCACTCACACTCACTCTAATCTAGGCCAACATGCGACTAGCTGTGACTCTGTCTCTGTGTACAAATGGTTATCAGTAACTCCTGGATTCATCTCATCATCAACCCGTGAAGATCCGGGGTAGAACAGGTATTCAGCAACCCATGCTTGCTGTAAAAGGCCACTATGCTTGTCGTAAGAGGCGACTTACAGGGTTAGGTCGTCAGGCTTGCTGACTTGGTTGATGCATGTCATCAATCCCAATTGCGTGGATCGATGCTCATGATGTCAATCACTGGATTGTCTGGTCCAGACTCGATTATTTACAGACCGCCATCATATAGCTGGAATATTGCTGAGTGTGTCATTAAACAACAAATAAACAAACATCTCAACATCAAATTTCATTTAGCAGATGAACAAAGTAATTTTTCAATTTTTCAGCAACCTGAATCCAACTCAGCCTTTGTCCTCTTTTAGAGTGTAGCTAGGTCATTGTACCCTCAACATGAAGTTGCCATCTCATATTCCCGAATGATCTTGCACCCCTTGACCTTCTCATCCATAACATGATTTTCCTGTCTGTATGACATTGTTATATGTGTGTTTGAGTGATGAATGCCATTGCAGTGCTTGAGTGCCCTCTTGTTGGTGCAACACATTATATTGCAAAAGGGAAATATATTTGATGGGTTTCATAGTAATGATATCGATTTTGTTAAAAATGTTGATAATGGTGCTGTTTCAAAGTTTACTGTTGGTCATGTTGGTGTATAACAAGAATATCGTGTTATAGTTATATCAATGGAAAAAGGAGTGATAATATTGTTTGAGAAGGATATTCGTCGATGATCCCTTTACGGCAATGCATTTGCTTCACTTCTGAGAATTTCTGATGTATTATGCGAGAATTACCGTATGACAAGTTTTATCAATGCTTGATAAATCCATGTGGCACATCAGACATATGCTGAGATGATTTACAGGTGTGGTTTAAGTAAACAAATGAACCAGCCGATGAGAAAACGAATTTCTCGGAACCACGGCTGTGTGACCTTGGTAGCTTATCTTCTGTTGACACAGCTTGAATGTAGAGCGTTATGAAATTGAACAGCGGTTTGTGTCTTTATAATAATGAATCAGTAAAATCAGAGTTCTTTGTTTTAATTTTCTTAAAGGCCCTTTTTTAAATTACTTGAGGGACAGATTTAGTTGTCAAACAATTCGATAAATGATGAAATAAATGTAATTCTGAAAGTGCAAAATCATTTGGGTAAAGAAAATTAAAACATTAAAGGAAACATCATGACGAAAGACATCTTCTTTTTCAATTTGAGACAAAACCTGCAACCCTCGCAAAAATAGGTATCATTTTACATTCAACATTTCTATAAGACATTTATTGACAATGTGAGGTGGTGACATTTGTTCCTTATAGCGAACATTACTGGAGGTATTTTTAGTACAGTTCAGTGTTCATTAAAGCCATAATGTGGAGTGTCAGGTTTCCTGAAATGTTCACCAGTGTTCTCTGGCATATGTGTTGGAAGCAGTTGGACAACATCATCTACTTTTCATGATATGCGTGTGTGTTATATGTGTGTGTTATGTATGTGTGTGTGTGTGTTATGTATGTGTTATATATATATATATATGTGTTTGTGTGTGTGTGTGTGTGTGTGTGTGTGTGTGTGTGTGTGTGTGTGTGTGTGTGTGAGAGTGTGCGTGCGTGCGTGCGTGCGTGCGTGCGTGTGTGTGTGTGTGTGTGTGTGTGAGCGTGTGTGAGCGTGTGTGAGCGTGTGTGTGTGTGTGTGTGTGTGTGTGTTACATACATGTATTAATGTCGACATTTATTGTTTTAAAGTGTATTGGTCTTATAAACTGGAGATTAATTAAATGAAGTTTTTGGCAGTATTGCTCCCATACTAGGCGGGTAGCCGGGTGCGCAGAAGTCCCATTTAACTTCGAAATTTTACTACATCCGCCTACTTTGTTTATCATGTTTATTTGCCATTGACTTTTTACATTTCTTGGGGTGAATGTTGTCCAATCCAATGTTTAAAAAATTTCAGACCCCCCTAGAGTTTTCCTCTTTTTTGGAGGAAAACCTGCTCACATCCTTGAAATTTTAATGGCCCCGATAAAATTTAATTTTTACAGTTTCATGTTTTGTCATGTAAATGTATAGATCATGTGCGACTCAAAAATGTTTCTTTCACATGCTCACTCTCTATCTCTTCTAAGTTTATCAAATGTTGTGCTGATGCAATGATGGGTGACTATAGATATATAGCAAACTGATTTTTTATTTCCCCATCAAAAAGGTCACATCATTATGACAAATATTACAAATTGAGTCAGTGTCTCCCAGTGTCACCTGCAATTAACACAAACTGACTCAATTAGCTTGGTTGGTTGGTTGGTTGGTTGTTTAACGCCACACACAGAAATATTCCAACTGTATGAAGACAGTCTGTAAATAATCAAGTCTGGACCAGACAATCCAGTGATTGATATCATAAGCATCGATCCATGCAATTGGGATGAGATGACATGCATCAACCAAGTCAGCAAGCCTGACCACCCCGATCCCGTTAGTCGCCTCTTACGACAAGCATAGTCGCCTTTTACAACAAGCATGGGTTGCTGAATACCTATTCTACCCCGGATCTTCACGGGTTCTTTAGTAACAACACTGAAGATACCTTCAGTTGTTTACTCAGGGGATTAATCCCTGACATGCTTTTATTGTGTGGAATAGGACCAAGGACAGCAGGGCCCTCGTGCACAAAGCGATCTTAGCGCTAAGATGGTCGTAACTCCCATACTTTAACATAGGCTTACAATAGTTGTAGCGCTAGGATCGCTTTGTGCAAGTAGGCCCAACCAGGATGTTAGTAATTAAACGCTAGTTTCCGATAGTTGATTGCTATTTTATAATTGTTCACAATGTCAAGATCAAAGGTCACTTCACACATTCAACAATGTATTCAATGTTGTTATTTTTGTCAGATGAACGGAAATAGCAGAAACAGTATAGATATGTATAATGGCTGAGAATCACAAGGAAGATAAAAGCGGCAAACGTGTCAGCCAACGAAAACAGTTGTCAGCGCTGCGCCGGAATCTTTAGGCCACGCCCATAAATAGATTTGTTTTGGAAGCCAATTATGGAGTGTGTGATTTCAGCAATCTCACTTGAACATTTGAATACTTTCTACGATTATTATGAAATTTTCTCACTCTCTCACCTCTGTTATATTCTTGCTTCTATAAAAGTTTTTTTCAAAATGGCTGCTGTGGAAGCCATATTAAAATTCGGCATCAAACATCTTGAAGACATTCGCCTTTCAAGGGGTTTCTGTCGTCTTGTCCATTATGGTTATTATTCAGC